AGTTGTGGGCCACGCTCCTCATGGCCTCACATAAGCACTGAGGTTGACTATGAGCCATGAGACCAGTTGTGATGGCTCATAATTCATGATTTGGCCCAGTTGCAGTGCGGCTACACTGGTGCAGGTGCTCTGGACAGACCCAGTCCCTGGATCTGGGCAGAAACAGGACAGTGGTGGCTGCTGCAGCCAGTATTGCTGGGGCATGGAGTGATGGGACCCTCAAGAACTGCTGTTGTACTCTGCCAGTGGATCATTCCCTGAGGTGGTGGCTCATGACTAGGAACTCCCTGGCATGGAGCTTTTGGTATGGTTAGACAGGGTGGAAATTTTGGCTGTTTCAAACAGCCCAGTTTCCACAGGCCTTGAGGATGGAAGGGGTTTGATCGAAACAACTGTATTCCTCAAGTGCCAGAGCTGCTGTGTTTCATTTCCCAGCTGCTCACTTGGATGAGGAAGAAATAGAAAGGAGCCAGTTTCATGGAAAATCATGACAGGCCACGATCAGCCGAGTTAACAAAAAAAAGTCACCTGCTTCAGAAGAGCCAGTCCAGTAGGATACTGCAAATTCAGACCAGGGGGAAAGCACTTGGAGAAAAGGGTAAAATTTTCAGAGAGACATCCTGCTTGACAAAGAATTCATTTGGTGCTAATGGTTCTGCTTCTTGATACCAGCATGAACCACGCTCCCAAAAGGCAGTGCATGAGCACACACGAACAATACAGTGATTTGTTCTCAGGAAGCATTCAACCTCTGCCAACAGTCAACCGGATCCAGACAATGGCGAGGGCAGTCAGACCGGCACATGGCACACCAAAGGAGGAGCTGTATCACTTGGCACAGAGCTGCTATTTCCAGCACTTACATCCCATCCTCATGCTAGCTCAACTTTTTCACTCTTCAGAGGAGGAGGACTATGTTCCTGTAATGAAATCTGGATCTACAAGGGCGAGAATTTTTCCTTGAGATCAGTAGAGGGAGGTGTCCTCGACTCCTGAAATCCCTCAGCAAGTGGTCTGATTTGCAAATGGCCTCAGCATTCGAAGCTGTCAGCTACAACTCAATATAAAAGGCACCTTAAACATCTACAGCACAAACCTTATGGTTTCAAGTATCCACTAATTTTTATTTGTCCTGTTTACTTGCTTACTTAACAGAATTAGCTCTGAGCATTATTAAAAGAAAAACAAATATGATGAAGTAACACTTTAAAGACATTTTAAGTTGAAAACCAGCAAGGCATATTGGAAATAATTTTTTAAATTAAATACGGTGCCAGGTCACTGAGAGTGAACAAAACAACTGACATTCCCTAGATCTGTTGACTTAGAATTATATCAGAACAGCATTTCCCATATTTGAAGAAGATAAGAACAAAGCACTAAAGCTGTCACCTGGATTTCTTCCTGCTTATTTGAAGGATTCTCACTTTCACTGCAACAAATTACTGCCCTACTTTCTTGGAAACTTGGACCATATGCCAAGCACTGCTGAGAGAACTTGTACTAAAAGGAGGACACATTCCAGAAAGTTATTAGATGTCCCAGAGTGTGCCACTGAGCCTGTTGTTCAGAGAGCACCAGGTCCTCAAAATGCGGAAATTTGGATCATGATCCTGTAACTGAATACAATGCCCTTCCACTGCAGGGCAGAAAGCAGCCCAGAGATGGGAAGAAACTTGCTTTGAAACATCAGATCCCAACCACTGACAACATGCCAGGGTAGAAGAATTACTGGTCTGATAATGCAGTAGGGCAAAGTTCTATCTTCTGCACCTAGAAGTTGGTTTCTTTTTAAAATCTATTAGCAGCAGATTCCCACACAGCTTGGCCAGAACGGTCTGGTCTTAGTCTGTTTTGTTTGTCTTGCAACATCTTGCTGTTTCTCACCCTTCATTAGGAGTCCCACTGCTTTTACAACTTCTATGAATAGCTGAGGTTGGGAAAGTGCAGCACAGCCTGGAGAAGCCCATATGGCTCAGTCACAGAGTATTTTGGTACTCAGTTCCCACAGGGTCAGTGGAAGTTTGCAAGGCTCCATCTATCCCCTCTTTGCTGGCCGTGCCCACACACCTCCTCAAGCTTGGTGGGCCACACTGCACAGCCAGGGTGCCTGGCAGGGCTCACACACTCCTTCCTTAGATTACACTGAGCAAGGTGCAACTCCAGCATTTCCTTTCTTGGGAAAGGGCTTGTTCCAATGTTGAGCCAGACTGCAAGCGTGAGCACGGCCCAAACTGCCAAGAAGCTGTGTCTCAAAGACTAATTCAAGCCCCAAGCTAAAAGGCAAGCCTAGATGTACTTAATGACCCGGGAGCAAGGCAGCCTGTTCGCTTGTCTGCTACCACTACTCAAAGACGTGCACGAACATAACGCAGTGCTTTTTATCTCTACACTGCAATCTCCACCATGATTTATAAAGACTAGACAAACTTTGTTTAAAGGAACCAACTCAAAGCCAAACCAAGCAACCACTGTCCCTCCCCATCACAGCAATATTTTCCCTTTCAGAGAACTTCCTTGCTTGTCTTTCCCTACACACTTAAATCATACAACAAATAATACTTCTGACACCAAACCAATGTCGCTGGTGGCATCCCACATGCCTGGGCTCTCCTCATGAGAGACCACGAACAATGAGTGGCTCACACCTGCTTTGCAACACTTCTGAGTGAACAACGCTACCTCTGCAGAGGCAGGCCAGGCTGTACAGAAGGGAGCTGTATTTTCCACTTAGATGGAGATAAAACTGTTGGAGACAGAATTTGTCAATAATAAACCAGAGTGAAATGTAAAGAAATGCACACAGTGGAAGTTCATGAACCCCAAAAAACAAACATGTCAGAAAGAGAAAGAAGGGGGAAAAAAAGTCCCTTTAGAAGCATTTTTATCTAGTCACTGACAGATAATTTTAAAGCATTTGTACAGAACGATGGTTCTATGCAAACCTATATATACCTACACAGTTTGTCTCAAATAACACTGTCCATAAATATAATTACACAATATACAGAAGTTACATCCAAAAGGCATGGTAGCACCACACAGAACTTTGGTCCCAGAAAAACTTCACCTGCAGATCTGTGTGTCCTATGCAATAACTGTACTTGCTTTTTGTAATCGAATTCACAGCCAAAGTGCAATCACACCCTCCCGTTGAGGCAGCAATTTCCACTGCTCCTGTTATGAATTTACCAGAGGGGTGTTGAATCTGGCAGCAGCCTCTATGTGGCTTATACAAAAGACACTCAACAACTGTTTAGTGAGGTGCTGAATTTGCTATGTGTGTGCTACTGACCTGCATTCGGGGTCCTCTCCCCCCTGAACAGTGGAGTCCTACGAACAAAGGCAGAACTGACATTTTTCATTAGCTTCAAACCTTCCTTCTGGCATCACAGGGGCTTTTTGTGAATAAGACAGGGAAAGGAGGACATGTTATTTCCTTGGCCTCTCAAATTAATGCTCAGCTGATAATTATTTCTAAGCATATCCACAGTTTCTCTCAGGCATTTGGAAAATGAAGTCTCTCATGCATTAATATAAAAAATACTCTCTGTTTTCAAACTCCATACTCACACGCCAAAACATATAAGAGTTGAACATGGAAACATATACATATACAGTTCTGCATTGCAACAGGCCTGAGTAAGAAACACACAAGCACACGTACTTCAGCTTGTTCCTTTCAGTCCAATTCAGCAAGATGCATTTTGGTTTTTCACAAATCTGCTGGAGCAGTTGTAGCCATACCTACCAACCACCCTCAGGTGACTGGAAAGGAGTGATAACATTTTGATCTCAATTCATTATAAAATCAGTGAGGTTTTGAGGTTGTTGCTTCCCCCACCCCCAAAAAAAAAAAATAGTCTGTACTCAACACTTTTCAAAAGCTGCTCTCCACATCAGAGAATCAGATCTGCTCCAATATGAAACTCAGCACTGCTGTAAAATAAATAAAATTCACTGCTGGAGCATTCTGTGTTATCCGTGTATGCAAATGAATGTGCTTAGCACTTCAGTGTTAACAGCCTGGCCATTGATACCACATGATGGAAAAACCTCTGAATTTCAGAGGAAAGAGAAAAGCTGCCTATCCTGGAAAACCACAAGGTGAGCTTTTATGGCTTTTCCACTACTGCCCTTTTGTGAACCAGAGGACATTTTCCCATTAATGGTGTTGATCAGCTCTGAGAGGAGGCAGATGGATCTAAGCACAGGTCAGCGATTTTCTGTGATTTCTTTGTCTAACATGGGGATCAATGTGATGGGGGCTATCCAGTGTCTCTAGTCACTTCATGTCCTAGGTAGTTTGGGAGTTAAAGCAACACCCGTGCTCTGCCTGCTTCGTGTTAGGTCTGCAGACACCCTGAAGGTACTGAGTAGTAAATTGTAACTCCCACATGAATTTGACCAGATTTTAAGTTAGAGGGTGTCTTATCCTACAAAACGTCCCAATTCCAATTTAAAGTCTATTATCCAAAGGGGTTTCCTGAACCTGTGTGTGGGAGTCCTTTCTGCAAACATCTGACACTGCATCACTGAACTCAGTGGGTCTCATGGCAACTACATCAGTGGCCTTGGCTCTTCAGTTGCCACAACACACCAAGAGGCACAATTCAAGACCTCGGCAGAAGCACAAAGCTTTCTTCTGGTCCTATGGAAACGACCAGTGGCTTAACAACTCCTCACTGCAGGGGAAGGCAGTGTCACTGCGGGAGTTGCTTTACCTTTCAGGCTGTGTTTGTTTCTCAAGGTGAAACTCCAAAACCAAATCCTTACCTTCCCCCTTTTAATACCGGTTAAAGCATTTGTTTTTGAAGTCTGCCTCCTTTTTGTACATCTCTGCCTCAGCAGCAGCCAAGTTCCAATGTAAACTGCATTTATGTGTCCTAACAGCTGTCACATGAGGGGATGTTACTGAAAATCCAACCTTTAGTGAAGACTTAGTGTTTCCTGGTCACTGTTACTTTTGAGAGAAAGAAAAACAAAGAGCACTAGCTTTGTAATCCACTGGCAGAACTAACTGCTGTGGTTTTTATTTGGTGGAGGGCTTCCTGATCTCTCTTGCCTAGCCAGCACTTCATATTCACCAAAGACCAGCACAAATTCCATGAAGAGAAAACCAGACATTGCTCTGAAGTAAAGAACATAAAAAACCCCCAACAAAGACCAAAGAAGATTGACCACAGTCACATGTAAAGAGAAAGTTGCTTCTGATCTGTTCACATTCTCATGGTTTCTTCTGTGAAGAAGCAAAGCTCTTCGTTCCAGTGGAAAAAATGGATTATTCTGGATTATTCATTCCACAAATGTGTTACAGTAGAATTAAGAAAAAATGTAGAACGAAGGAATAGGAGTAATTGCTGCAGTTAAAGCTGCTGATCAGATCCTCAGAGATGAACATGGATGCTGCCTTGGACACTGTCACAGTGTTTTTCATCTGCTACAGGTCAACCAGAAGCTGATGTACTACTTCAGAGACTACTCCAGTCTCTGGAGGCCAAACAGATCTCACCCCACACCACTGCTACAGGCAGTAAAGGCTCTGTACACTGTCCCTCCTAATGCAGATCCTTTGAACACAGATATCTCCCAACCCATTCACAAAGGCATAATTTAAAAAACAGCAAGTGACAGGCTGGTTCAGCAAACAATATGTTAAAAAGACAGTTGTTTGGTCAGACTCCTCTGCTGTCTCCCTACATACTGTCTCCAAGGGCCATTTACTCTGACACAGAAGGCAGAGAGCAAGAGTTTCTTCTCAAGGTGGCAATGTCACTTTAGAGTAAACTATCAGAGGAACGGGGACTATATCCATGTCCCATATCAGCCCTGGGCTGCTGCTGAGACCTTGAATTGTAATAACAAGGCCCTTGTCTTAGCCAGCTTTAGAGACCACAACAGACGCATCCCATCAGATAATCCCGGAATCACCGTGCGAGGCGAATGCCATGTGGTGTCAACGACATCACTCTGCTCCGTAGGTCACCAGTAAAGCTCATTACAGGAAGCTGGCTCTGTCCTTCAACAATGTGACAGGTGATTCTCGAGGAAAGGAACTGTTCTCACTTCCTGTAGGACTGGCTGCCTGCAGAAAAACAGCAAGAAAGAGTCTGTCAGCTGAAAGCAGGATTTATTACAAGATAGGAGCTGCCTGAGGGCAACACTTGTGCGACCTGTACAGGGACACAAACATCACAAAAAACATGCAGAAAGGCACTTTATCTCCCAGTGCTGCAACTTAAAAATGCAGAACATATTTATGGCAACCCCTTGTCTAGGGACACAGAAAGAACTGAAAAGGAGTCACCAGGGCCCAGTCGCACTCCCGACAAAAAACATTCCTCATTCTTCTGGTAGAGAGTTTTGTACTGCCCTAGCTCCAATGTGCCCTAGACAGAACTTGGTACACTGCAAACAGCTTCAGCATGCCCATGAAGGGTTGCCTGGAATAGATGCAGAATAAGGAACAGGGTAGATTAAACCATTCAACCATGTCCACATGGAGCACAGTTGAAAAGGTCTAAATTTGGAGGTCCCTTTGTTCCCTCTGGAACTCTATGTTCCAGTCATGCTGCCAGTGCCATCCCTGTGCCAGCTACGAAGTGGAAATCACGGTGGGTCTCAGCATGGTTGGTTTTATTTGGAGGAGCTTGGGTTTTGCTTTAAGGTACAGTTTTAGAGCTCAGCTAACAGCAGCTGGCTGCAACTCAGGCAGGAATCCAGCCCCAGGCCTGTAGCTGAACTAAGTACCTGTGCTTCCTCTGCATTCCTCAGGCATTCCGCACACTCCATGCTCCAAGAGGAGCAGTCCAGCTAGTTCAGCTAGGTTTATATAAAATCAACTTGTTTCCAGAAAATACACCTATAATAAATATTAAAATCAAGCTAAAAATGTGCCTCTAAAATAAGTGAGCACAGCAAGTACAATCAGAAACTCATCTTTTTCTCATCATGTCTGTCATCTGTAAAAACCTGCATTTCTCCAGAAATACCAAAAAATCCACAAACTAAAGATAGTCTTCCACTGGAACAGAGTCTCTTGATATGTAAAAACCTATGTACCTATGCAGCAGGCAAATGGAGGCAGCAACTGCTGAAATCTACTGATTGCTGATATCTGTGCATTTGATACCATTTTGGATTTACAGATGAGTCAACCAGGAAATTAAAGGAGCAGTAGCATAGAGCTTTACTAGGGAAACATTAGGGGCTCACCTTGCCTGCACCTTTAAGTAACAGCTGAGAATCACCTTTGAAAACCTCAAGTTTTAACACAGGAGCTTAAAGGCCCTTTTTAGTCCTTTAAAAATCTGGTTCTCATAACCTTCATCTCACTTTTCCCAACCACAAACATCTGTGTGAAAGCCCCAGCAGGATGGACAAGAACTAACAGGTGTTCTGTGACAGCAGACAACAAGGCTGGATACATGTACACAGAGTGAATGGAAGATGACTTGTTTGCAAAATAATTTCTTTGCTATTTTTAGCAGGAAGATTTTAACATTCAATTAGCATCAGTGCTGATGCTAAGTCTGTCTCATGGCACATGTGGACAGATAGAAAATGATAACCTGGAATCCCAAGATAAAAATCTGGAGAAAAGGTAAATGGACACATAGCAAGTTGGGATGCCTGCTATACGTTCAGCTTTGGGATGCACAGATGAAGAAGAGGAATATTGTAAGACATATCCTACCCAATAAAAGTTAGAAGAGCTCAAGAGTCTGGACTAACAAATCACATATACTGAATCCACAGAGAAACCCAAGTGACCTACTTTAATGCAATTTGAAAATAAAATATGTTATGCACTGTGCCACTGGAAAAGGATCTTGCTCCAGAACCAAGATGTATATGTCACATATTTCCTAGGACACACACACCCAGGAATGTAAAGCTGCCCTGGAGAAACTAGAATATGCGGAGGAGTTTTTGTGTGCACACACACAGACACACACACACAGTGCTTTTCCTTTCTTCATCAGGGCTTCTTTTCAACGGGCTAATGCTTTTGGGAATGAACCGAAACAGGAACCAGAGACAGACTCTTGGGTGTTACACCACAGCCAGTCAGGGCAGAACAGTGCTGCTGTCACAGGAAACAGAAAGCACTGATGCCAGAGGTGAAACATGGGGCACATGCAGCAAAGGTTAAGCCGAAAGAGCCGGCAGTATTACCTCAGCACAGGAATGTTCAAGCAAGTAATGTCTAGGTCAAAACCTCCTTCCACCACCAAGGACATTCCCTTCCATTGCGACACCTGTACTGCCTGAATAAAATCACACTATTTCCCTGCACATGCAACTGTGTGGAATGACAAAAGAGTGAGAAACACAGAAGATTTAGGATGCTCTTTCCAGCCCAGTTACTGATTTATTAGGTTATTTCAAATCTCTTAGTTTCATTTTCCATATTAGTAATGAGGAGCTAACCATATGTACATACCTAAAATTTCTTGGGAAGGTATTAGTTATTATGTTTTTGTGAAATGTTTCAAGGTAACAGTTACAGTTAAAGAACAGAATTGATGTTACATTGTGATAAAATAATCATCACTGAACTTGTTACAATGCATTTGAAACACGGATATACATCGCTCCTGCCATTTTCACTGATGGTGGAGACCCAGGTGTATTTGAACCCAGCTAGTCCTATCCACACTCCTGGGAAAAAGCTTATTAATTACTGAAGAATGCATCTTTCTTCCCTCTCCATCCCAAAACACCTCCACAGCTAACACACCACGTGTTTAGTGATGTGTGAGTATTCAAGATCAACATTTCCACTTTATTGGGCTTGTGTTGCCTGGCTTAAAGGAAGCGTCCATCCTTTTCCTCCAACCTCAAATGAAAGCCCTCCTCTCTTTTGAAGCACCTGCAGACTAGTACTGCTTAAACTTTTTCAGGCCACAACACAGCCATGTGGTTCTGAAGTACAAGCCTCCAGAAGAATGGTGACTGCTACAAGCAGCACACTTTGTTTGGCTCTCTGCTCACCAGGCTGCCCTGAGCCCACCTTCTGAACTGCCTGACTCTGGTCTACATTCAGTTGCAGTGTAGACACACCCAGGGATCCAAATTCAAGAACGTTAAACAAGTTACACAGCGGAGTGAACAAGTGTCTAAAGAAAAAGTTTGATGACACCTAGAGAAAGTCTAATCTGAGACCAGAAACTTCCAAAAAAACTTCTGAGAATTTGGGCCACTTTTCTCCACCCAGAGACAAGAAAAAGCATGTCTTGTAACTGCTCACATGACAGCCTGGAAATAAGAGCAGCGTTCAACAGGGTGTAATTACATGGTTGTACATCCTGCAGACGACAAGTACAATGTCATATACTCCTGGCACATTAGTAGCCTACGACCTCATTCCTAACCAGTTTCTACAGTGCTCCCTCCTTTCCCACCCCAAGGAATGACAAATAGAATGATGACTTTTTCCACTTACTCTGTCTGCTCCTTGTGGATGATCCTGAGGAGCTGGGACGGCTTGTTTGTTGGGGTCCAGACTGAGAGAACTGGGGGGCAATGGCTGGGACCTTTCCCTTTCTAGGGCTGGTACTCTGCCCTTCCGGGGTGCGAGGGATCTTAGGTTTGCTGGTGAAGGCTGAGGGAAACTCGCTGTAGGAGGAGATGGAAAGGGTTAGCAATGCATGGAGAAATATGTATGCATAGTAAGTCTGCAACCAAGTGAAACCTGCAGTACATGCTGTGCTGTGACAGCATGACAGGCTGCTCAAAATTCAGGGAGACTGCAAATGGAGAAGAACATGGCACCACAGGTACTGCCCTGGGATATGTACTCACTGTGCAGCCTCTAACCTGGCTCTGCTGACCTCTCTATACTACTCAAACCTCATTCTTTGCACAACAGGATTGAACAGGTTCAGTTAAGCTCCCTGCAAATCAGTAATTGATCTTTAGCCTGTTTTCCATTGTATTTATCACATTCAGTGACTCATTCTGAGGTGGAAAAAATACACAGATATGCTACAGCATAGGAACACATCCTTTTAGGGCACAGACACCATAATTTCTGCCAGGTATAGGTCACAGTTTTGGTAGACACAGGCAGCCTCCCTGGCTCCTGGCTGAGATAAGATCTGTAGAACTCCCTGAAGGCTTTGTCAAAAGAGCAAAAAGCTGTGATGGCATCTATAAAATAAATTCCCTAAGCACACAGGTTCCTTGTTCACACTGAGAACATAAAACATCTGCTGCTATTTCACAGTCTGCATGTGCTGCAAGAATACCATTCTTCAAAATTTAGTCAATAATGTGTGAGGATACACCGTTCTTCCTTGCTCCCAGAATGTATTCTTTCCCAGGTACAAAAATAGAGGCTACCAGGAAATAGCAAGGCTCTAAAATAATTCTGAATCTATATTAATGTTTGCAGTAGTGATTCGATTTTCTCTTAAAACGAGAAAAAGTTGAACTGAACTAATAGTTACATGAAAAAGCTCATCATATTTAAAAAAGGTAATGAAAGAGTCAAACGAGATCCAAAAAGGTGCCATCCAAAGAGCAGTGAGTAAAATGGAATGTCTCCGTGTTACTATCTCCACCAAAAGAACCCTTTGTGACAATCAGAAAGGGTGATTAGGAGGATTTTCAAGATATTTAATCTCTCCTCCTCCCCTGGGAATGCTGCTGAGTCAGTGCTGATTAGCCCTTCCACAGCCCCGCTTCACCTTGCAGGGAGATTTGAGCAAGTGTTCCTTTTGTATTTTAAATAGCATTACTGCCTGTATTTTGCATTTGTATACGATAACAACTGCTCTGCTAAGAACCATCTCTGCAGCCCTCTACCTACGAGTATTATCAGTGTTAACACTTGTCTCACTTCAAAGGAAGAGGTGGCAGATGGCAGCAGAAACATACTAGCAAAACAAACTCAAAAAAGTAAAATCGTCTACATAGAACTCCAAGGCGTGGACCACAGAAATATTTAAATATCTTTCTCTCCATAAAACAGTCTCATTGTTATTGCTTTTTTGTCATTTTACTCACTTCGGTAAAGTGAGCTAATTCAACTGAATTGGTTTTTCAATTCCCTTGTGCTCTTCATGATAATCTTATGTGTGCTATGATATTCTTAGGTAGATAAAAAAGGGAGATTCAACAGCCTCAAAGCAGTTTTTGAGCCACAAATTAGGGGTTTCTTTCCTAATTCAACAATTAGGAGATGAGACAGGAACACACAAAGGTGAATTAGACCATTTTCTCCAAGAATACACTTGGACTTTTGACCAATTTTGCCAGATCATCAGAAAAGCAAAGCCAATACAGATCTAGGAAGGCCCTGCAGTTTAAGATCTTTATTATGATAATACCGGACCCAGTCACAATTAAAAAAAGTGCTTTTTCAATCAGTCACAACTGTAAACTCAAGTCCACTATAAATTTATCCTTGACTGGCTAAAAACCACAATAGTGCTATATTCTTACATGATCAAAATGCAACAGGGAGGGAATAGCAATGCCAGGGCAGCTGCCAATCTGACATAATCATGGAATAATCATTTCTTCCTGTGGAAATTAAACAACTGCAACAGAAATGTCACTGCCAGAGTCTCATTCTTCTCTCAGACTGATTTTGTTGAATTTCACTTATCTCTGTGCAGTTAAATTCCCAATTTATACTGGTAAGTAAGAGGGGAAAGAGCAGTTTCTGTTTCCCCACTCCAACTCAGTCCTCCTTTTCTCATAAATACCTCTCTAGGAAGGTCTTGGTATTTACCTAACAGGTATTTGCCTCTAGGAAGGAGACATTTCTTACAGTGGACAAAACCATGAGCAAAGCAGTGATTTACTAGTTCTGTTTGTTATGCAAACAAATTAAACAAGAGTGAAAGAATGAAAAGGCAGGTCTAGCTATTGCAACATCAACACATTAACAAAAGACCCTTGACATAGAAAACCCTGTGTTGGCTTGGACTGTGTGAATGGCTACATTCCCATATCCGTAACTCGAGGCTGCATTTGGAAATACAATTTACTGTAGGAATTCTAAGGAAGTACTAGGTGAAAAGATATTATCTCCCTCTGCAGGATACTGCACCTGTGCTTTCAGTTCTATCAAGTCCATCCATGACTGAGATTTAGACATACATTTATGAAGAAAAATTAAAGATCACCGGGGACATGCCTTTTTAATAACAGGTTATGACTGTAGAGAAGCAAGTCACCTCACTAAAGTGGGGGGCAAGATGCTGCCAATTTGACTTGTTTTTTGCAAGCCAAAGCCTGAAAAATAATCTCTCTCTCCATCACAAAGGAAGCAATTTGGCCATAAACTTTTCATGGTCTCTTTCTATGACGTGCTCAGCTACTGTTACAATGGAGAACAGAAATAAAACCAGTAATGATGGGACAGAGGTATGACTACTAAGTACTTCAGCCGAAACCAGTGATAATTTGTTGACAATATGTAATTTCTCAGATCTCAGCATGGAAAAATCTCAATTGGGAAAAAACCTCCCAGCCAAACAATCAAAACCACACCAACCACCTAAAAAATCCCAAAACCACACACAGGCATCTGTAGACCTGAAGGAAACAAAATTATAGGCAGAGAGCACTCAGAAGTGCTAGAGCTTTAAGTGACACAAATCATCAAGACCTCTGAAAAATCAGGTCCATAAAGAGCTAGTAAAACCTTTCCTTTAACACATCTCCACCCGTTCTGTGATTTAGTCCTGGAATGTACTTGCTTTTAAAATTTCTCTACACTTACTGTTTAAAACTTGGCCCAATCAAATTCGCTATAGGAAAAAGCTGTTAATGTCTGAAGGACACATGCAGGCCCTGAAAACTTTGGTAAACCTTGGTCCAATTGCTAATGAATTCCTAGTTCTCATCCAATATATAACATCACAGTTGTACACATGACAAAGGCTTCACAGAGGGCTCAAGGTACCAGCAGGATAAGGAGAGCAAGACCTTTCATTTAACAGGAATAATTTCAAGGAAGAGTTGAATCTCATTGCTGGGTGACCTCATAATATTGCCTCCTTTGCTATATCCATCTAGAGGATAAATCAGAGACTCTGGTCAGCAGTGCTAGCAACTCAGAGTGTTTAAACACCCTGAACCCACTTTAAATGCTTCATTTTTCTTCCTTCAGCAAGTTAATTCCTGCCCTGTTCCCACAGTCCTACCTATTTCTTTAATAAATGATTTTTCATGGGCTAGAGTCAAGTCATCTAAGGAAGCAATCAGGAAGTTTTATTTGCAGAAGACTGCGTTGAGCACGCATGTGAAGTTCATTAATAATGTCTTGCTTGAGATTTCTCTCATTCTGAACCAGATGCTTCGAAATTGAACAGCTGCCTCTGGCACAGCTAAGGGTATTTTGTTTGGCAAGCGCCACCACAGCTGTCTCAGGCCAGACTACATCATACATCAAATGACTTCACAGATTGTCTTTACAGCAGCATGGAATTAGCTGGTAAAACCCATCAGACTCCTCTTATAGTTCTAGATATCCTCTGGATAAATCATACCTATACAATTGCCCATTGATGTTGTCCTCAGTGAAGTCTTGGGAAGACAAGATATTGTCATCAGCTGGGATGCTTCGGTCCATTCTTTGGCCTGGTGAGAATACTTCAGATGACTTCATTTCAACTGCTATTTAAAAAAGAAACACAGTTCAGGGAGCAGTTTTCTCTTTACAGTTTTACCAGAAATACAATCAAGTTGCAGTTCCTGCTGTATGAAGAAGTCCTTGAGGTATTAGCAGGCTACTGAGTTAGTGTGGCAGTGCACTACAACTCATCACCTGAGCAAAACAACTGCAACTGTGATACTTCCAGCCCTCTGTGGCTGGAAAATAAACTGGCTGCACTTTGTAGTAGCAATGGGATAGGAGCATCCAGACCATCACTTCACATTTATCAGCTAATGTCCACTATAATTAAAACCACAGCAACTCAACCACTTGCACTTCTCTGTATCCACAGTAACAGGCAGCCACTGCAGACAAAACCCAGTGTTTTACACTTCTGTCAGACTTGCTTTCTTCCATTAATGGGGAAGTGAAGTACAGTCAGTTTGCTGAGAGACACAAGGCTATCAAGATGTGCAAGTTCAATAAATGTTTAGGGAAAATGCCTAGCTCCATTCCTGCTGTGCTCAGGACAGGCTGCCGTCCTGATTTGCTCTCACATGCTGATATGAATGCAGATCAGGTCACTGTCAGACAAGCATTTCCCTGCCCAGCACGTGTTCTGTCTGACATTCAGCATAATAAGTGCAGTAAGACAACCAGGGTTCATCTTTAGTCCACAAGTTTTCTGCTCACAGGAGACAAGAAAGGAAAAGTGCCAGAATTATTGATTTACCAAAGTGACAAAAAGGGAGGACGGACCCAGACAAAGTCAGACCGACCCAAGAACAGCTGAAGGACATTAAGAACTGTTCTTATTTTTAGAAAACAAAATAGGATCAACATTTCCTGAGGTTAAATTTAGCCTTCTTGAGATAGATATGAGCTTGATGATGCTAATTGTTCACATGAAGCTTTTATTCTGTTTTTTCACTCTTGATGTCTTACTATTCATTTCATGACTTGTCTGCATGAAACTGAGTCCCAAAGCATTCACGTGATCCTGGAAAACACATATTCTGAAGTAAGCAGCTTTCTGGTGCTGCAGAACGACCATCAGACCAAGATCAGAACTCAATAAATTGCATATCTAGTGAACAGCAAAGATGTTTGGCAGGGAATGATGAGGGCCTCTAGAAGTAGTACAATTATTTTTACACCTTTCTGTCATGTACTGTTCTCTGCTGTATCTTAGAAGGCACTAGAAGAGAAAGGGTTTATTTTCCATTGTCTTAAATTACAGCCTTTCCGATTTAAATATTACAAACCCCACTGCTCTTTGGAAAACAGGAGCTATCCAAAGACCCAGTTCAATTATCATTATGTAGAATGAAAGTCCTGTCACTGACATAACAACCAAGGGGTCCAGCAGTGCAGTCTCTTTTTTCAGTTCTCTTCTCCTACTCCTCATTTCTAAGTCCCAAAAGATAAGAAAGACAAGCACATATGTCACTGGCTACTTGCAAAAACCCGGAACCAAACTCAGGCAATCCTTCAAGTAGTCTCAGTGTTATTTTATAGCCTGTAAGAATATGTAGAGGAATGTATAGAATTGCCTCTGCCACAGAAAAATTGTTTGTCTTTTCACATTTATAATGCATGTAAACTTGCAATATGCTCTATATTATGACCTCCAAGATTTTCTTACAAGAAAAGAGTATAATCCAGTAGTCTTATTAGTAGCCATCTGCATTTAATTTTGACTGAAAACAGATAAACTTTTAGACATAGGCTGCAAGCAAAGTTCTGGCAATATGAAGCATTAAAGTGGGCAGGAACTTCTTCAGCATGAAGGCTTTGAATCAATATTCACCAAAAATTAACACCATTTACACTGTTGACTTACTGAGGCTCTCTGTTTAAAACTCACAAATCTCTACAAGTAAACAATCAGACAGTAACAGCAGCATAGAAAAAGTGACAGAGATGAGTGAATGCATTTCACTGGCAAGATATTATCAAGATGTGGTTCAGAAGGCATGTTGAGCTCTGAATGGCTGCATAACACGTTAGGAATTGCATCCAATTACACTTTAAAACAGCAAATAGGAACACTTTTGATATCTTCTTGGCTTAACTTCCTTTAAAAAGCATGAGTATGTAAAAATTCATTCTTTACTTTCTTCTCTGTAGGAAAACTGTCAAGTCAGTATGCTTTTGACTAATTTACAACCTTTGCTGATCTGAGTTGCAGCCCTGGGATGAGCTCAGCTGTACTCTAGGTGTTAGTGTGCACAGCAAGCTGAGGACAGAAACACTCATTCCTACACAATAGCAAGAACTCAAGTGCCCATCTTGGTCAGGAGCTTCACCTGCTTCTATCATACAGCTTCCATTCAGCATGTTGTATTTATCAGCTCTAAGGCATTATGCAAGCAAATTCCTGTCTGCAAGGCCTTGGTCACTTTTCTCTGAATCCCTTTCATTTCCTTTAGGAAATTTAAAAAAAATAGAAGAGAAAGTAAAAAGTATGCTCTTCCCTTACTGCTTCAAAGCATATTTTTCAGCAAAGTAAAGGCACACTTTGTTTCAACCTATTAATAATTCTGTCCCGGATATGCTGCGAGATCCTTTATCTAAGATTGATGAACATTTTGCCTTAAATCCATAACTGGAAAATGTTAATGAATCTCTGCAAGAAGGCAGAAACTCTCACATTCAAAGTTTCATGATCTTGTGCATATCAGAAATTCAGAAATCAAGTATTTCAGAAGTCTATACCCTTTTAAATTCCACCACATGTTTCTGAGCTCTCAGGCCCAGCTGAGTTTGCATTCATTTCAGCTGAAGCTGCAAGGGCAGAATCTTTAGCAGCATCACCCACAATGCAACTACACAGCTTCAGGCTGCCCATCCTCCACAACCTTGGATGGTCTGAATACAGTTGCAAATCTAAGCAGAGAACTGCAGCTGCCTTCAACTTTAACACAGAGGTCCAGCCAACAGAGCCTGCAGGTGCCAGCAGACAGTGATTCATTTAGATCCAAACAAGGGTATATTTGATCAAGCAAGGGGCTTTGCCTGTTGGGAAGTGCACTGTCTCTGGGCTGCAGCTCTTTGCCTCGGCAGAGGACATTGCAGAGTGAAATACAGTATCCTTCATGCATCGGAAGCCCTTGGTTTGATCCTTGGTACTTCCACAGGAAACAAGATGGAGCCAGGCAAGTGAAACCATTGGTGTCTGCTGACCACAGATTCACTCAGCTCGAGCCAAAGTCTACTGTGTGCACCAAGGTCCTGCAGACTGACGCAGGGTCTATAAATAGAGGCACATCTCCACACTATAACAAAAAAATCTTAATCTACAATACACAAGCCAGGGCCCCAACAGCTGCCCCAGTCAAGAAAGGCATCAGCAATTAACAACAATATTCACAGACTATCCTTACATGAAGGGGAAATGCAGAGGTCAGAAATGCTGGACTGGCTCCCACCACAAATGGGAGAATGACCACTTGGAGGAGACTGCAGCTTCTCATCCCCATCGTGACAAGAACTGGTATCGTTTTCTGGCCTGGAGGAGAAAGGAGAATGCAGGGTGAATGCTTACAGTACAGTTGCATGAGAGTAAATTCTAATTTCTTCTAATTGCCTGTAATGACATAGTAGATATTGAAATTATTTTATATTTCATATTGCAAACCAGTGCTAAAGACATAACTGCTTGACTGTAGCTCCCCTAAACCAGCTGACATCAGATGTATTTGAAATTAACATTTTTTCCTACTGCAATAAAAGAGCTGAGGAAAGGAAACCGTAACTGGAAAGGAAACCATAACTCCCTGCAGTCTGAAGATTCAAAATACCAGCATGACACTTAAAGAAAAAGACTATAGAAATGGGCCTGAGAGATCTTCAAAAATCAGCTTTTTCAAGGATTTAAGATTCACTCCTGAATATTACAAGGATCTCACTTTAAAGAGCAGTATGCAACACAGACTTAAAACAAAGTAGGTGAGAAGTAGAACTCTTGATTTCACAAGTGAGGTGGATCAGTGAGAAACTGAAGCAGCTGAAGGACAGAACAGGAACACAACTGCTTAATAGTAAGCAATAAAACACAGCAAAATCAAGAGCAGTGCGAAAAAATGTGTGAAAAGAAGTTGGCAGACACAGAAAGTTTCCCTGCCCAATATCAGATTAAGGTAACTAAACTATATCTCTAGTGAAAATGATGCAGTCCAAGGAGGCAGTTAATGATTTCACAGCTCAATCAGTTTCTAAGGAACAGCTAGCAGAATATTAAATAGTTCAATCCCCCTTGAGTGATCTCAGCCAGCGAGTCTTTAAAGAGGAGGAAAAATGAAAAAAATAAAAAGAAAGAAGGCAGCTTTCCAGTATTTCCTGACTCTCTCAGCTCCATACAGCAAGAGCTTGTCCATACAGGGATCCCATGACAATTCATCTGAAGTAACTACAGCCTTGTCTGCACTGGGAAGTCATAGAAAAATTAGCATGGAATAGCTGCTACATGTGCAGTGGCTATTCTGCATTAATTTTCTGTGTGAATACTTCTATTCAGCACTAGAAATCTCCACCCCTCCTCCTCCTTTTGGAGGTTTGAACCAACAACTCAAAGAGATACGTTATAATATCTCCAACTGCTTCCTCTTTCATGATGTTTTTAAACGGAATATATTACGTGGAGTGTCACATGAAGAAATTCAAACAAGTTATATTCACTTCAGTTCTGAATGGAAGCATTTACACAAATTTTTAATGTAGTTAAAAATTAACTACTCTGATGAATCAAAAATTTCAGATAATTCAGATCAACTGTCCTGGATTGTATCAGGTAGATAAGTTGTATATGAGGCAGAAGTGTTTAACATAACTTTTCATCTGATACAAGCCACTTAAATACATCCAGTTCAGATATTGCTTTCAAATCAAGGCAGATAAGATTTTACTGTCTTCCTCTTGCAATAATTCCTAAGCAAGCATTTCCTCATTTTAGTCAATGAATTAGTACTAAAATTAGAACAGCATAAAAGCCATCAAAAGCTTGTTCTTTTCTGCTATAAAACGTAGTTCAAGAATGTCTTCATCTATTCACTCCAGTTTTCTTGTGCACAAATTAGCTGGATAGAAAGGACAAGCTTCTCATTCAGGGTGGTATCACTTGTTTCCTACTTAAAATGTGTGAGCACCAAACACTCATATTATTTCTACCATTTGGCCAGAGCAGGAGGGAAATTAATTTTCAGATATTTTCACCTCGTTAGATTTCTGCCGTTTACATTTTTCCTTCCTAGTTTGCACAGTGGGGCAACCTGTAAAGGCTGCTTCACACCTTCAAACTAACACTTCTCTTAGACCCAAAGCTACCAGAACCAGTATGGCAGAAATGTGTTTTTAATTCATCTCCAGCAGTGACCTGAAGCCGTCTTGCAGAGGCACGAGCTGCACAACTGTTCAGCTGAGGAGATTCCAGTTTCACCAAAATGTGCGTCACTCCAGTATCCCGGGACGCTTAAGCAAACACACTGCCCGGGTAGGTGGTGGTAAAGAGAGGCACGAGATTGCTTCCAGAGGTTATTTCTGATGCGTAAATTGCAGTGCACTACACAGCACCATGAAATAAAAAGCCACTCCCACAGGTCTGCCACCGTTTTTCTGACTTCCCATATGAAAGTCAATTCGTTCTCACAAGCTTGGTTTTCTCTCTGCTTACAAAGCAGGAATGTAATGCTTAGACATTTCAGTGGTAACTAATATTTTTTCCTGAAAAAATACTTTCTAAATAGGCTGTAAGGCTGTCCTAACAGCCAGTTCCACAGAATCAGTCCAGGTCTCCTAGTCCACCATGGGATAAATACTGCACTGGGAAAGTGGGACCTTGAACTCTGTAACACTGACCCCACAGTAAAGTGGCAACATATGTTTAGTCATATTTTAGCTAGTCTAGATTTTTAAGGCCTGCAGCTCTTTTGGAGGACTGCAGGAAAAAGATTAGATAATCACTAAGTTACTAATATGAGCTTATATTAATTAGTTGCTGTTTTCTGCTGACGTACAAACACACAGATTTAACACATAGGGAGAGGTCTTGCAAAAGCTGTGGACATTATGATGGTGCAGAAGGTTGACCACAGTGAGAAAGGACACAAAGTAAGAACACCAAATTCACATTCAGGCTATACCAGGCAGATGAAGTAGATGCCACGTTCAAACAGATGCCATTTTATCCAGGCTAGTACTCAGAATAAAAATTAAGACTGCAAGACAAATTCTGCCCTGGGATAGCCAAAGGTTCTTTTTTTTCTGCTTCGGAAGTGTATGTTTCCTTCATCTGGCTTTTTAAAAAACTAAATGTCATCCGGTCATTTTTCCATGCCCAGATCTGGTATGTTACACTTGTCTGTTCTAAGGCCCTGGTAACCTGATATGTTTAATCCCATACAAACAGTACACCTGCCAAAAAGACATATTTGGATGGCTCAGGAGGGCTCCTACTCAGATCATCTGCTTGTAGGAATGCTAATGCCAGCATGAGAAAGTAAGAGGGAATAAACATGGGCAAGATAAAGTTTCGACCACTCCTTGTCCGAAACAACAACAGACTTCAGTCAGATTCAACTACACCTGTGTAACTACAGCCTGAATCAGTCCTCACTGTCCTCTGTATCCATCTTCCACACTGAAAAGAGGAGGAAATGTATCTTAAGAAAATATGAATGTGAAAGCAAACAGTGGCAGGGGGGATGACATGGGACAATCATCAGTGCTGATGGGTTCTTCTAAGAACCACATCTAACTCCACTGCACTGTTCTGTTTCAGGTTACCAGTTCATTTTAACACACTTGGCTATATCGATACTGTGACTTTTGAGTACCTGTTATTCATCCTTTGTTAGACATGTAGTCTCTCAGATTAAGTATCCACAGAAATGAAAACATGAAATCCTCGCAATAACAGCTGCCTGTATCGTAGCTACCTAAATTTGACCAAATACAAAACTGAATGGAACTGAACGTAAAAAATCATTTAAATTTGAAATCTCACTGGTATTTTACTTCCACGGTCAGGACAGTGAGCAGGACAGGTATCATCTCAGAAATTAAGGAACTCAACTATTTCAAGTATGTGACCTCAGCCAATGGATCTTCCTCTGCCTACAATATTCCACTCCTTTTTTTGAAATTATCTTTAAGGAATGACAAAGGCAATGCACTTTTAGGTAGGGAAGGTTTATTTATTAGGCACTGTTGTGGTTTTCTTCTTTGTTGTTGTTTTGCTTTTTAAAGGAGCTTAAAAAACTCAACTTGGTCTCATTTGTTTGGACTTACATTAGGTAGGCAGTTCTGTGATAACCTGGTGTCACAGGTCTCTGGAGAGGCTCATCTATACTCTGATGGGCACCAGAAAATAGCTTCTTCTTAGTTTTTGGAGTATGAGTCATTATCTGATACACAGAAAATGAACAAAAAAAATAAATCAGTGAAAAGACAAGTAATTGGAGCCACAGAGAACATTCTATAGAAACACTGCATCAGAAACTATATCCCATTCTGGTGTCACTAGATAAAACTGCCTGGAATCATTGTAGGCTCTTCCACGACATTTTATCTCAGGTCATGTTTCCATCAGCAGCATTGGACTCTGGGATCTGGAAGGCATAGAGTTGCATTTACTATAGAATAGTTTGGATAGGAAAGGTCCTTAAAGATCACCTATTTCCAACTCCCCTGCCATGGACAGGGACATCTTTCACTAGACCAGTTGCTCAAAGCCTCATCCAACCTGGCCTTGAACACATTCAGGGATGGGACATCCACAGCTTCTCTGGGCAACCTGTGCCAGTGCCTCACCATCCTCACAGTAAAGAATTTCTTCCTTATATCTAATCTAAATCTACTCTCAGTTAAAAGCCATTCCCCTTTGTCCTGTCACAACATGTCCTTGTGAAAAAGTCCCTCTCCAGCTTTCTTGTAGGCCCTTTTTAAGGACTAAAACCCTACAAAATAAGGTCTCCCTGGAGCCTCCTCTTCTGCAGGCTGAACAATCCCAACTCCCTCAGCTTGCTTTCATAGGAGAAGTGCTCAGCCCTCTGAATATCTCAGATTAGTCACAGCACACTAAATGGCATTCATACAAACTTTATGCTTTTTCTCTTAATAGCTTTTTGCCGCTTGAAGTAAGACAGACAATACTTGATTCGGCATAACGCCTGCAGGAGCAGTTAACTTTTCAACTTCTTTTTTTTTTTTTCAAAATAATTTCAGACCAGCAGAATGTTCCAGTATTAACCTGCTCAGTACTTTGCTTTGTGTGCCCAGAGCGCCACTGATGTAGTACTAGAACCCTAAGGCTGCCTGTAGCTTATTATTAAGCCACAGCCTGACCACGCCCTGTGAAAGGGTAGCTCATTTCCCAGACTTGTTCTCCTGAACAGCAGCTCATGCAGAGACTGTGAAAGATTCATATTGCTATGCGGGTAGCACCTGGCTCTTCAAGCAACAAATCGAAGAAAGCGGTGAAACTACCGAAATTAAACACTTAATCCAGCAAATTAATTTATTTCAATAGTGTAAGGAGTGGTACTTACTCCCAAGTACTCGGTTGTTAGCAGTTTCTCCCCTGCAAGCTCTCCCAGCTGAGGCTGCAAAACCTCATCTTTGTCCAGATCAGCCTCCATGATGTCATGGTCCTCCTGCAACAGCAACACGCAGGTTTGCAAGGAAGCTTTAAAGCTGATAATATGGGGCTGGTACAAATATCTTGGAATCGGTACTTTGGGATATAAATATCGTACACAAAACCCAAATGTAATCAACTTCAAGTAAAAACTACCAAGAATTCACTCTCCAGTACCTATTTCTAGAATAACTATGGGTGATTAATCTTCCATGGAAGCTCTGCAGCTCCTACAGATCAGCAAGCTAGGAAATTTTAAAGTCTGAGGGACTCCTCCAGCAAACCAAAACTAGTAATACAAGAACAAGGCAGTGTTTTGCTGCTAAAAAGAATTCTCTTCTGTCCTGCACAAGATACCCTAAACAAGACCCACTCCACATGAAGAAAATGTGCTTTGCTTTTGAAACAGGTTGTGATAGCAAATGTAAATGATTGTCAGAAAAATTAAATGAGAAAAAGTACAGAAATCATTCCAATAAGATATATTGTAATAGTAATGTAGAGAGCCTGTCATAAACTCCTTTAAAAACAACAACCACTGGACTTCAATGAGCCCCAGAGCACAAAGAAAATGAAAAGCAGTTTCAATTTAGTGAGATTTAGACTTAGCTTTACATAGTCAAAGTAAGAAATACCCTCTGCCACAAAGATTAGCCAATAACATGGATGCTTGGACAGTGCTCTACAAAAAAACCGTGAAAAACATTGGAAGTGTGTACAGAGGAGGTATTTCCTAGAATGGAAATGGCTGATAACCGATTCCAGTCTTTGTCTGGTGCAAAACAAGACTACCATCGCTTGGAACAAGTAGGTGTTGGCTTCCCCAGAGCTCTGCAGGCTTGCCTTTTTTTTCAAGTTAATTGAACTTTGTATCAAATGGCTTAAACCCCATAATTTTTGATTTAGTTATTCTCATTGCTCATCACCTTCTCATTCACAGATGTCAAGCAGAGGTAAAAAGTACAGACACAAAGGGCTCAATTCAGTAGCCCAAGGCACCATCCAGTCCTGCTTTGAAATATCCTGTCTGGTCTTCCACTGTAGCTCTGAAAGGGCACAAGCCTCTCACAGGTCCCAAGTGACATCCCACAGCCTTGTGCAGGTGTTTCTGATGCTGTAGTTAAACTTTAGAGACATTAGATGCCTGCGTGTGAAGAATTGTAGTACTTACAGAAATACTGCCAAAAATACAGTGTTCCAAGGTTCAGAGTAAAATTTTTCCATAATGTATTTGTTCATGTATGGATTTACTAAAAAACTTAATTCTTCTGTACCTTAGTTTTTCTGTAATTTACCAGATTGTTAATCTTCTTTATCCTCCTAAAGATGTATTCTCTAGATGCTCAGCCATAGAAGATAAGGCTGTATAGGACCTCACGAAGATGTTCAATCTGCCTTTCTCTCCAAGGCAAGATAAATTACCATCAGCCGAAAATCTGGGTATGTGTGAAAAATAACCCAGATAATGGGAGAAAGATAAACACTTGTAGACTAGGCAACAATCATCCGTATCAAGCAAAGCAAAAAAAAACCCAACAAAAACTCACACTCCAAAGTCCATAATATATTGTACTGGGGGGGGAAAGGGGAAAATTGCACAGATGAGCTCTATAAATAGGTCTGATGGAATTTTCTTTTACATGGTTTGTTAATGCAGCCAATTTTGCTCCCTGATGTTATTTAAAATAACAGGTAACTGAGCCTAAAAGTGTCCCTGCTCTGTCTCCTTGTACAAAACAAGAACTTTGCCCGACGTGCCATCATTCCACTACTGAAATAACACAATTGGTGCCCTGTTCAGCACTGCTCACAGGCTGCAGCAGATGTTGGCAGCAAAGCCCTGTAATGTAATGGCTTGAAGTCCTGGGATTAAGCTCTCTCTCTTTTGATGTGCTCTCTAGCTGAAGTGTATTTTCACACTGCAGTTTACTGATTTTATTGCCAGGTGCTGAGTGACGGTGGATCAGAGGGTGTCTGATAAATCATCACTGTACAGTTATCTAACACAGCTCCAGCTTGTAACTAAACTTTTGAATTAGAGCTGCAGTATCACATATTCACTTTTACAAGCAGCTTTTTACGATGGTCCAAGTCAAATAAAAAGAAAATGTAAAGATCAAATACTGAAGATAAATTAAGTTAGTATTTAACAGACCAGTCAAGAGAGTATTAAGCACCAGAAAACACACACCGACTGTGGGTCTCAACACACCCCAGATGGCAACGTCTCAAAGCTGGGTATGTGCTCCAGGAGTCAGTGTATCCTGAGCTCTGCTCTAGTGAACTTAAAGCTCACCAGACAAACTCAAAAGCCAATTTATTTCTAATAAGAGTATACACATTTATATTTTTTTTTGGTTTATATGCTCCAGTGTCACACAGCACAGAATCTTAAATTTCTGAGTGTATGATACTCTTAGAAATCCCAGAATTTTACTCTAACAGGCTCAACTGCATCTTGGCCACAGTGTCTAGGAGGAAGTAGTCATTACCGCAAGATTTGCTCAAAGCCAGGAGAGAATTCATCAGTGCTAAATTAAACACAGATAAAAGCAAAAAAATTCATGAAAGGTAATTCTAATAGCAAGGGGAACTTTCACATTCTCTTGGAAACAATAAAAGCTGGGGCAAAACCTGCAAACTAAGGCTCCTAAGAATGTCTGTTTGTTGTTTCTCAAATTCTAAAGGTGTAAGTATCCGTACTGAGCAACGAATGCATTCAGTCTGCAGTAGTTTAAAAGTTAAGTAAAGGCAAGGCTGGTGATAAAGTTTTCCAAAACTTTCGGTTGCCAGATCACCATATCAGATGTTATCACAGAATGCCATCAGAGAACAATAACTCACTGCAATTCCAAAATACAAAAGGCCTCCAAGCACTGAGGTAGTGAGTCAACAAATCTTTGTTTATTTAACAAAGTAACAACATTTTGCTGCCATGTTGTTTGTAAAGTATATTTTCTAAACTGAGGGACTAAGAAACCAGGCGTCCTTGCAGCAGAACAGAATTATAGTTCCCAGGAGCAATAAGGACTTAAAATGTGTTGCAATTAATGTTACACTAGAAAAAGTTTTACACTTTGTTTAACAAGATTTTTTCTTTTTAATATACTGGCAAAGATAATGAAAAACCGGAATTGGACACTTCTCTGTTTCAAAAGCCTACTGTTATTTTTTGAATCAAATAATAAGTGCCAGAAGCCTGTTTTAATCACATGGTAGTTCAGTGGCAAAAACGCATTTCAAAATTATTTGACCTAGAGCCTTGGCTGGGATTGTGAGCAGCAGCAACTCATCTAGAGGGTATGACTGAACAGGAGAATTCACCCTTTCATTCCCAAGAGTAGGTATAGTGATGAAAGTGTTCAACATTATCATGCAATTCAATGCCACACCTTTCAGGAAGGAGTTAATTATCTATGTGCTTTCCCACCAAAAGACAGTATCCTTCAAAGAAGTATACTGAAGTTCAAGCAATAGCACCGCCACCTTGGATTCTCAGGATACATCTAAGACACTCAAAGCCTTGGAATATCAGTTAAAAGGGTGTTAAGCAGCATTTCAAACAAAGGGAAGTTCTAGTGATTAGTCCCCAGGAAGCCAATCTTGCAGGGCAAGCATTGATTTTGGTGGGAGGAGTGGAAAGATTACCAAAAAGTGACTTCAGGACTGCAGGAGGTGAAATAATTACAGTAATCTAATTCTATTTAAAAAAAAGTTAACTGTACCCCCTTAGAACAAAAGGGGGAGAGCTGATTGTTAAACAAAACTTCCTTCTAGCTCTAAACTTAGAATTTCCACATAGCTCTAAATTTAGGCAGTCACAAGGGTGATTAGTTCACTGTGTTCACCAACTATTGTGCCAAAACACAAACTAGATAACCATGTTATATTTACTATGATCTAGTTTCTCATGCTTACTTCATTTTTTAAAATTTTATTTTCTCACAGGACTTATTCCTTAGGTATAATTACTGTTTTTCTTCATTACATTCAGGCAATTTATTAAATATATTTCAAAGTTTCTAAACAGCAAAAGAAGTCACACCCAGAATAGATAGTGATACTTGAAGAAAAAGTGACAACCTGTTTATAAACTATTTTGGTAATAAACAGGTTCATTTGCTTCCTTTATTTTTAACTGCTGAAATGGGTCTGATTGAAAGCAAGATTTCTACTGCTACAGTAACTCCTCACCTCTTCACTTGTGTCAAGCTATAATCCTTTAGTTATCACAGAGGTGGTGAGTTGCCAAAAGAAAACAGCAGGACTTCAAATGAAGAAAAGGTAATGGAAACAGATCCAATTTTCTTACTAAAGCAAGAATAACTAAATAAAAGGAAAAAACAAAACCGAAATCCACCAAAAAACAAAGTCAGGTTTATTGACATAAATATTTTCTGGCTAGAAGGTTAAGGATTTTTCTAAAAGGTGTCAGAAGGCTTTTATACTTACTTCCTCGTCCTCCTCTTCCTCTTCATCATCAGACACAATACCATCATTTAATGGCTCTTCTAAAAAGAAAAAAACCACAAAATTATGTAAGTTCAGTTGTACATGCACAACTTAACAGAATCTCATTATTACCCACTTTGACAAGAGCAAGAGTTAGCTTGCTTCTCATACAGATGCCCCATCCTTTTCCAGACAACTATTGGAATCATTTGCTCCTATAAAGCATTCTAGAAATCACCAAAATCAATTCATATTTTGAAAAATGGCAGAAATATAAACACTCTGGAATTTTTATTTTCTCATAAAACCCACTGTGATGTCTCACTGTATTTACTGACAAGACTTGAATGGAAGAATGTGCATTTGCTAGTTTGTCTGTTTTTCAACTAATTTTTAATAAAAGACCCTACTTCTCCCTACAAACACTTCAATATTATACTGCTTCTGTACATAAAAAGTTAGTACTCACGTAGAATACTTCTTGTAACTTCTAGACAAAATTATTTCCTCGGAAAAAGCAGCCAGGCTTATGCTGGAAAACTGCATTTACTTGGACTCACCAATCAGACAAAGCCTCTTAAAAACACCATTCCCAGGTAGAAGAGGAGCAGTTCCATAACCCTGATGAACAATTTTTGTATGGTGGCAATACAGTGCTTAAATACTTTATTTGTTCTGTCAAAAGCTACAACTGTAATGTCTTTTACAAGCTAGAACTGTAATTTCTTCTCTTTTCGAAAGCCAAAGAAAGCAGTCAAACTTGTTCTATGTTTACTGTATGGAAGGATTTAATCAGAATTAATCTCCTTTTCATTATTTGCTCTCTCTTTTTTCAGCCTTCCTTTCAATCATAAGGATCAGAAAATAGAATAAATATTCTATGTCCTCATACCTGTCTGTATTAACGCAGCATATACGTCAACATACTCTCCAAAAAGGATGGTCTCTGATAAGCCATTTCAGATAAAGCTACACCTCAAGAGAGTAGGAGATGAGCACAGGCAGACCTGGTCCCTAAATCCTGTTTTACAAATTTGTATCACATTTTTGCAGTTGACAGCAGTCTCTCATTACTGTGAGGCCACTGGCATGAAAGTAAACAGTCAAGGTCATTCTATTTACAGTCCCAAAACTCTGGAATTGAGACCTACTCAGCCTTTTATATCTTCTTTATAATTGTAACATAAAAGGAAATTTTAAATGCATCTGACTTTCAAATCCTGACACTCACTATTCACCCTCTCTCAGACCATCACAGTATTGTTATTCTTTGAGCGTTCCAATGCCAAGTGAAAACATGAGCTTTTTTATGGCTTTTGTGAAAGATTTAAAGCTCTGATAGCTGCATCTGTTCTTCTGACCTGAATTGAGCTGCTTGATAATAAATTCAATCTGTCGGATCATCTCTGCGTTTCCTTCCTTGATAACACAGCGCAGAATTTCTTCCATTCCCTGGATGTAGCAGAAAACATTGCTAGATCAGTATTTCATGTGATCACACTGAAAGAGTTTTGTTAGCTAAACCCTCTCTTTTTTTTTTTTTATTGTCAGAAAAAACAGAGGCAGTGTGAAGCAAACCACTGTGTCCAGCTCCAAGTGCACCCTACACAAAAGGAATAAGCTGTCTAGATTGCTTCTAGGTTTAAACACAGACATATCCATGATGAACAGCAAATTTTCTCAATAGATTTGCTGCTTCTGCCTTCTGAACTCAGTACACAGTAGTCGTCAGAACAGTGCAAATTTTCATCCACAGAGACAACAGTGCAAGGTTCAGAGGGAAAACAAAAAAGCAGAACCCACTTTGACATTAAACCTGCTCTCTCTTTATGGCTCCTTATAGGGTTGATGTTGTGTCTTTAATCATTTAAGATTACTTCCAATCCTCTGCGCTCTGTGAGGTAAAACACCTGACAATTATGTCTGCATAACTCTCTGGGTTAGTTCTTCAGATACAAAGACATGCTGCTATCCCAGGAGCAGCTTCCTCAAATCCAGAAGCTAAAACACAGTCATTACCACTAGACTAACTTCCACAGGAGATCAGTTCCCAGTTCTAAAACCTTCCTCCTGCTGCCTTCCACAACTAACTACACCTATACCAGGAAGAAGTAAAAGCAGTAAGAGGAATTCATCCTTTTAGTGGCTACTCACTGGTGCAGAATGAGTTACATAAACGGAAGAAGTAGCAGGGCAAATGAAAGCATCTCCTGGGCCACTTGGAACATACAAAATGCTGGAAGGACACACTGTTCTAAAATATTCTAAGTTATAATTTAGACAGAATCCCTCACACTGCTGGGGGTCCACTTCTGGGAAAAAAAGCAGCAAATATGGCAAAAGCATTTGAGACATACATTCACACTATCCTGAGTATCTTGTGTGTTCCCTTCTCAGAACGTCCTGCTCAGCAGGTGCCTGTGTGGGCCATCTCTGGCACAGGTATTGATCTCCATGCAGCACTTCTTACCATTGCTCTGGCTTTTTCTCGGACAGAAGGGATGGCAAGAATGCTGTAGAGTGCTCCATTCACATATGGTTGGATCTGAGAGGAAGAAATAATCGTATCACTAAGAAAAACGCTTACGCTCATCCCAGTTAACTATAAACAAAATGTAAGAGTGAAAGTGCAGAACAACTACACTTCAGAGAGTTAGGCCAGGCTAGACAGGACTTGCAAAAATTCCCACTTCGGAAGCAATGAACTTTCAGGATGCAAATATACTGTGATACGGATATAAATCAGTATTGCTGTGTGCCAATTTCAAACCTTCTGCCTTCCAAAAATGTATTCTTGCAAATTGACTTAGCCATGGGAAAAAACAAAAAAGGAGAGAAAAAAGGAGAGAAAAGCAGAAAAAGGTTATTTTCTGATAAACACTAGTGGCATTACAAAAAATAGGACAAAGAACAGGGACAAGACCCTGTCAGTATGAACTCAAGACAAGCTTCAAACATTGTAGCCTTAGGCAGGATGATAAAAGCTGTAGCAGCTTCAAACACTTTGCTGCCTGTTACTGTCCCTCAGGAGAGGCAAAAAGCCAGCCAGCATGAAAGCTCTGAAATATGGTTAGTGAAAGCCACACGTTTTATCAGCACTTATGTGACCCTTTCAATTGGCCAGTTACTTTTGCAGCACTAAGATTTTCAATCGTCCTGTCTATACCTTTGGAAAAATGAACAATGAGCTAGACTGGGAGCAAGGGGAAACAAGGGAAGATAAGGGACTGGGATTTACACAAGGATTCCACAGCTCCTCAGGAAGCTCTCCGGACACCCAAGAGCACTGTCTTCTACCTTTGATAATAAAACTTCTGTCGGCTTTGCTGGAGCAAACTGGGTTGTAAGAATGCACCCCCGAGAGAAAGTTCAAAGTCATTTTAGGGCACAGACTTCAACAATATGGTAGCATTTTCTAAGTATTCCAGTCTAGGGACTGAGATGTTATTTTGTATTAATATGTATTGTATTAAACTTTCATCATTCACAAAAACCAAGCTAGTGAAAGAGTCCAATAAAGGTATGTCAAGTTTCATCTTAATAAAATAAAGAACTAATCTACATCTTGTAATGAATTTACAAAACACAGACTAAGCATTTCATTGAAATTTATTCTCTATTTTCAGTTCAAGTTATAAACAAAAAAACCTCTGATGACTCAGTCATTGCATGTAAACGTAAGACACTAGAGTTCATATTTCATTTTTAGCACAAGTCCCCAGACACTTTGCACAATCATCACAGAATCACTCTAGAATATCCTGGTAAAAATTCTGCCTCCCTGAATTCAGTCTGTGCAGTATTTGCCTGCATTTCCTCCTGCCTTGAATTTTACTCCATGGTTAAAGAAGTGCCCCTCTGCAGAGACAGCTGAAGCAGTGTTTTCTATATCACACATCAGGCATCAGAGTGATGTGCTGAAAAGTATTAGGTAGAAATAACCAATAATTTTTAGCATTTTCCTCTGATGTAGTTCAATTTAGCATCTTAGATGAAAGCGTGTCCAGAGACAGAAAGTCGTAGATAAAAAGATATTAGGGCTTGAATGTCAGGAGTGTAGTGTTTTCTTTCAGCATTCCTTAAAACTACTAGCAAATGTGCTTCTCTGCACCTAATGTTTTGCATAATGGAATTGCACCACACATTGCTCATCTCATGAACTAGTTAAGCTTGAGATGATTTGGTGCAAGATGAAATTTAAACAGCATCAGAAACTACAATCAAGAAGGCACATGGACTGCATGGTAACTATGCATTTAAAAGACTTCCATTCTTAGCTGCCCACATTTGTTAAAGGAAGACATACTTATGGCTAGAAAGACCAGTGCTCAATAAAATAAAATTTAAGGAATCGTGAATTTTAGGAAAATTTCATGCAACTTAATTACATGAGGGTCTAACAAGGGAAACAAAAGCAATTCTTTCTCCATTTTTTTCTTTTCTTGTTTTTTTTCTTTTTAATATTTAATTTTTCCTTCCACATTTTCATTAACCCAAAGTTTGCTGTACAAATACCTCATGATTCTCATGGCCAAGAAGATCAGAGAGAACTTTGAGCACGTGGCTTGCAATCCTTGCACACATTTTCTTCCCTGAAAAGGCAGAACACATAAATATGCTTAGAAAAATAAAACAGATCAGAGTAAGTTTCTTTATTAGTTTAGACAGAGCAATACTGTTGTTTGTTCCTGACAAATGCTGAATAATTGAGCTGAAATCAGTGAAGTTACTCTGGATTTATGCAGTTGTAATATTGGACAGGATGCAAAGGGGTTTTAAAAAGTTTAACAAAGGCATTTTTTTGTTTACAACAAGCAGATCGATTTTCCACTCCTTACCTTACTCTCCTTTTTAAAAGGAAATTTACTTTAAGCTCCTTTTAAGTCTCTTGGGCATAGATAGGACCTTATTTTCTTCGGGAGAATCTCTGCATTGCAGAAGTGAAGCAGGTAAGTATTTCACTGCACAAGGTGAAGGTTAAACTCCTCTCCATTACTCCTCAACCCAGTTCTTTCTTGCTTACAAAGAAATCTCTTACACAGACTGTGTAAGTGGACACAAAGTGTCCTCTGAAAAGTGGGCCTGGAATGTAGGAATGGCAGCCTTCATTGATATGAAAAAATAATCAAATCTTATAGGGTTCCATTGCTTATTTCCTTGCTTAATTCTTTAGAGTTTGGTGAAGCTAACCTCCATAATTGGGATTCTTGGGAAAAGAGATCTGCTCAAAAGCATTAGTTATAACACTCAAATATCTCTGGTCATATAAATCACTGCTACTGATTATAGTCACTTGAAAGAATCCTGGTATATCAGGAAAAAAAAGATTCACAATCTTCCCTCTCCATTTCTTGGAATAAAGTTGTAATACAAAATGTAAGACACCTGCACTTCGTAGACAAAGATTCATGAGCAAGGCAACAGAATATTCCAGGGTGTAATCAGACAGGCAATCTGTATCTGTTAGAACATCAACCAGCCAGAAAATGAGCCCATCTTTGATCATTGCAGACTGTAGTGCACGCCTAGGATTAAAAAACAAAAATCAGATCACAAATCACAAAAATCAGATCACTGCATAAATAGTTTTCAAATACATTTATAGCTAGTATAAGCACATTAAAAACACACTAGCCTGCCCAAAAAAATCCCCAATATACCCATTTTGGCAGAATCATTAAACTAAGTAATTAACAAAGCCTGAAGAAAGTGAAGATCCAGATTCCCATAGGTTAGAGGAGTAAAACATTGTTGGATAGGTTGGGGTGGTTTTGTCTTTGTTTTGTTCTTTTTAAACCTGCAAACTGCTGAGGTAAGTTTCTTCATTGTTTTCTAAGGCTTCTTACTCCACCTAAAATGGCATTTTCAATTGTCTTTTAAAATTGGTTTAAAAAACCAGCTACACACAACAGCTCCATAAAACAAATTAATTACTTCTCCTGACATAGGTAGCCACAGCACTGTAGCACTTTTGTACTGTTGATTTGACAAATGAGGTTTTTTGCTTGAATTTATTTGCTCTTTTCTCTAGAGATTCTTAAATCACATGTTCTCTTAACTCAACCTACATTTGCCCTTGAAGAGTACACTGAATAAAGTGCCAGGTGGCCAACTGTGCTCTACAACTGAAGTTCCACGCTTTACAATACAAAAAAGAAGTATATACTGGTAGAAAGGTCTCACTGAAGAACACAATTTTTAATAACATTATTTCCAAGAGGCAATAAGTTTAAATTGCAAAGATCAAAGCAGGTATTTTCCTAGTTTTAGTCCTGAAAGCTCACATACTTTCTCAGTGCTGGATATTGCAGCAGGCCTATGGCATGGACTAAGCAAAACAAGGGAGCACCTGACCACATGTTAAAAGAGTTTCCCTCACCTCAAGAATCTAGAGTTAACCTCCTATAAGATTAACTGTTACTCTTTAGAAAGTAAAAAACTTTCAAATTTTCAGCAGCTTAGTGCCTAGACCCCAAAATCCAAACTAACTTGTACTACCAACAACTGCTTTAATAGAAATACCATTTTCTCTGAGACTGGTTTAGGATTTTAAGCAGTAGGGTATGAAGATTTATTCTCTTTCATCACAGATACGTACAAGGTATCTTGTCAGAAAGCAATGCAGAATTTTACACAAAGCACATTTATGTGTGCTTCATCCAGACAAGTTCTAAATTAAGCAAATCCAACGGCAGCCCTCATTCATCAACAAACCCAAACAAACAAACTCAAACAAAAACAAATGAACACTTGCAGTCTGAATTTAGAAAAAACTTGAATGAAAGTATCAAGAGCTAAACAATTAGATTTAGTTAACTTACATTTAGTTAACTATTTAGGGCTGAATATTCTTCCTGAGTACTATGAAAACAGAGTTCCTAAGATCATATTTACTTGATAAATAGAGCACCATCATACCCTTTACTGCTTTTGGATATTTCTTTTGTGGTGGGCATTTGAGTCAGACTGCTAATGCAAAAGTAAGAAACAAGACAGGCCTTGCATAGACAGCTCCAGGAAAGAGGATCAACAGGATGAAGATGAAATCCCTGAAATATGTTTGCAGAAAGGATAATGAAAACCTTATGTCTGGAATGTAACACAACTCTTTTTTTCTGTGTAGGATCGTCAGAGGCTTCTACACTAAGATTTTCACTTTGTTCAGTTAAGGAACACATATAAAGCACACAAGGCTGTGGCAGGAGATGTGTATTTACTTGAGTCTGGACAGCTGGTAGGAAGTCAGGTTAATTCACTCAGCAAAACTGAGTTCTCCTCCATAATAAATGCCATTGCTTTCATCAGCCATCAGGGGTTCTGATGATTGTTATGGGAAAATCAAGTGCTCTTCTTTCCTCCTTGAACAGAGCCTAACTAGCCTGCATTTCCTCTCCCGCTGTCACCACTACACGCTGTGCTTTCATCACCTGAGGCTGAATTTCTGCAGAGCCCCCAGAACATTCTCCCATGTAAGGGAATCCTTGTCTTCAGCTTTCAGTCTCTCCTCCAGCATTCGCAGCAACGTTGGGTTCTGAGAAAGGTAGACACGACCTGATGCAAAAAGTGATGAAAGAACAGATGCTGAGATATCAGCTGTGACAGAAAAGCTCCCTATCCTTGGAAACGTAAGCAGGATTGACCTCGGTTTCTTCTTGAAAAGCCACAATCTTGTGCCAAAACCCAAACACACCTGCACAAATGAAGTTGTGTAGCAGACCAGTTGCCTTCAATCCAGACACTTGGGGCATTAGAGGCCCACACTTGCCAAATCAGTACCACACAGAATCCACAGTTCCTCTTTCAGTACATGCTTTCTGATCTATCACGGTTTTGTACACTCAAGGAAAAGAACAGAGGTGTCCAAAGAGCTTGGGAAAGTCAAGTGCCCTGCTGCTACTGACTTTAAGTGGGATTTCAGTTCCTAGCAATAGTTAGCTCCAAAAGTAGCAGCAAACCAAAGGCTAATTTGGGACAGGTGGAGATAGAAAGCTGGATATACATATGCATCTAGTTAGCAGTGATGCACAAAGATTTATTCAGGTGAGGACCACGAAAATGTAGGAGCAGATACAGTAGCCACTATTGCACAGCCTGGTACCAGGTCTGCTCACAGGACCTCTAATTAATGGGGGTTTTTCTTTTTAACCCTCATGAAGAGACTGAAGACTATATTAAAGTTCCCACAGACCACAAATCATCAAAACAAGTCAGAAATGTTGAATACACTGTGTCAAAATGAAAATTTTCTACATACTGAGTAAATGTAACAAAAGACAGTGAATCCCTAGAAAAAGAGTATAAATAAAGCTCTAAATTTTCACATACAGTGACATGCACTTGTGAAGTACCTATAAGCCAGCATTAGATGAAAATGCTACCTTATTTTTTGCAGTGAATCTTTTACCTTCTGCCAGTGAAGCAAAAGCATTGATGAGCCTTGCCATATACTGTCTGACTACCTCACTCTTGGAATTTAATAATTTGAGGACACTTCTCTGAAAAAAAAAAAAAGGAAACATTAATTACATCTCACTAAGGAAGGAAAGAAGCAAAGTTAGTTTTCTGTATTGCTTTGAAAGCTTAATTAAATTTACACAGCAAATAAACTTCGAATGCATATTGATATCTTAAGTAATGTCAATATCATTTAAATTTCTTTTTTATTGGCAAGGGGGTGAGGGAGAAATGGAAAACGAACAAATAAGCAAATTACAGCTTCTCAGCTCAGTCTGTTAAAACACTGGGGTAGAGTGGGAATTACAATGAGCCAACACAGTTCAGTTAAAGCTGGTATCTAAAATTAATATTCAGTCAGTGAAAAAAAAGCCCACAAAGCAAACAACTTAATTTTGTTGATGAACTTAAATGCAGTAAAGTTACCTGAATAAGAACACTTCTGTTTGACAACTAAGAGTGTGGGAGGCAGCTCAGTAACTTACAAACAACACCACATTGCAACTTATTTCTCATCTGTTTTATTTCAGGTATTACTTATAGATATAACTTCCCTCTTACAGAAATTTACAGAGAGAAAAACAGATCATTGATTTAATAATCCTTTAACTTTTTTAGAGGTACAAGTTACTGTTGCAATGACAATGGAGCCACAACATAACAAGTTGACCCCCTGCCTCAAACATCTGGGGAACTCAAATATGCACTAAAATCACTACTACAAATGAAAACAAGTTGCACTTTTGTTAGCAACGGTACTGGATTATCAGGGACTGAAACAACCTTTCAAAATCAACAAACCAGCAATTCCCCTTTCTATAGAAGGGTACCAAACCATTTTGAATTCACAGAAGCACCGCTGAACCTGTTATTGCAGGTGCATAATGACATATTCCACAGCAGTATTGGGACTGAAGTACTAATTGAGTTCTTATTGTAAATCAGTGAAATGAATTGAGTGTGTTATTTAACAATACCTAATCACTCAAACAGGATCTGATAAGCAAGAGCTAACTCATAAATAAGGGCTCTGGCTTCTGCTCAACTCACAGAAGTTAAGCACCAGGAGAGGTGATAAATTTCCATTTGTCTACAAGAACTGTGTCTACACTGAGAGCTCTTGTAATGCAAAGTTCTGCCATCCACATTTAAAGATTAGAATGTAGAAGTTAAATATATCACCTGAGTTTGACACTACTACCTTTTTTTTTAAATCCTCTTTCAAAGAGCAATAAAATTTTATGATCAGCACTTTATAGACAGAAATGAGCAGTATCACACAGAAGTTGGACAACTGACAACTCTCAGTTCCAGCTGACCTGACAGTTGCTGTGACAATCCAGGAGATCATTACTGATGTAGGCTTGCAGGACAGTGTCTCTCTGTTCTCCAGGATATGATGTTGTCAAGCGCTAAAATAAATAACAATAAAATAAACCAGTCAAAAAAGAAAAAAAAAAAGGTAGTGTAGATTGATGACCTCTGAAGATTTTTAAGGTGCTGATACTCCATAGCTGAGAAACCTCTTCTCATAGGGGGGAGGAATTCAGCCTCAGTGATCTAAGGGAAAGAGATGAAATGAACTGACCTGACCTCAGCTTAGCGATCCATTACAAAACTGTTACTTGGCAGCAGCTGTCATTACTGTCGCTACAGGAAGGATACAGCATTACTTCCCATGAAGTTAAAAAAGCCCCTCTTAATAGCTACAGATGTGGTGTTTTTCTAAAACATCTGAGAGAGAGCACTGGGACAGAACCATCACTGGTCAGACCCAATGGATGGGTTTTTATGTGAAAACGGACATTGCACCTTGGTCAGAATTCCACTATTATCATCTTTCATGTCTGTCACTTTGAACCCATCAGCTTCCTTTTCAGCAGGAAAATGTAACTTCCTGTTGTCACTTGTATTTTTTCTGAAATGTCATTACACAATCCAAGTCAAACAAAAGGAGGGCTCCTGTAAAATACCTTGACTGTAAAGAAAAACTGGTGATTAGAGTCAGATATGTCTTGTCAGCAATATTTGTATAAATGTAAACCAGTGCAATATATGGAAAAAGGAACTACCTCAGACAACCACAATTTATTTGAAAATATATCAGAAATTACTTCCACTGAATATCCCAGGAATCTGGGAATTCCTCATGTGAGGAATCTGTCTTTCCTCAGATGAGAAGGACAGGGTTACTCTACAAACAGATACCTACTGCCCTGAGCTATCTTCATAATCTCAAGAGCCTTAGCAAACTTCACTGACAAAGAGAGAAGTTGCCTGTAATGCTGAACTGATCACCAGAACAACCATTTCACTTGCAAAATGGGTCTTAGTTCTGGATTCCTTCAGAAGGGATCTATTTTTTTATTTCTCCAGAGGCCCTCTCCTTACCCAGCGCAGAGCCTGCAGTAAGAAGGCCTTGAGACGATCATTCCCTGTAATCAAATCTTTCTTCAGCTTCTCATAATCCAAAGAGGGCAACAATGGCACATCCTGCATCTTCCTAAATGCAAATGGGAAAGACATTTCATCAAAACTCTCTCTCCTTGTTCAGTGCAGCTGATGTTACTGAGGTGAGAAGAGCCAAAACAGGAAGTCTGCTTCAGGAAAAGAGCTTCCACATTTTGACACTTTTGTTACTTTTATTCTCTGTTAGAACAACAGACTTGTTAATCTTGGGTTTATTTTTTTAACCATGCATGCAGATCACTTACCATTGTAACTTGCAGACACTAAACTGACAACTAGCCAGCTCATGATCTGCGATTTCTAGAGGCACAGAACAGTACAGTAACATCTTTCTTTCCCCTCCCCTGTGTGGACCACAAGGGCATGATGGCACCAGCTCCTGGCTTTTAGCACACAATTATAAACAGATGCAGTAACAAGCTTCAGCTCCAACTCCACCTCTAAGCCCTCACACACACAGAAATGTCTTCTCCAAGACAAAGGTGGTGTGTGTGTGTGGGCTGAATGGATTTTCACAGCCTGAGATTTAACACAGGACCACTTTTCATGCATCAGTAGTATCTTGCTATTTTGAGTTTTAACACTCCAAATGAAGTTTCCCTTAATAAAATTGCTTCCAGTCAATGTTTTAATTTTAGTATTTAAATATAATACACTAAAATGTTTTACTATCTTTCCATCTAACCACTTTTCAAAACAAATTTTATGTCATATGGATAACTGTTTATCTTGTAAACAACAGAAGGATCAAAACAGTGTCTCAGAAATTTAATAAAACTTCACTTTGGATATACTATCCCTATTTGATATTATAAGCTTAAATTAATTAAGTCAGTCCCCAAAAAATTAAACCCGAAGCACTCAAAATTCCCCTTTTCCTGGATTTGTGAGAATCAAACCAATTACAACAGGACTGGAACGTGCGGAAACAGTAAAAATACAGAAACAACCTCACAGGTGTGGAATGGCAGATTTACTGGATTCGCAACATCCTGCTGTAATTAGAATGGAACTGAAGCTGCTCAACAGAAGAATACAGATCACACAGTATTTGCATGAATGTTCAGTGAGATCAGAGGAAGCACAGAGGGGGAGTGATTTCCATTTGCAGACAACTGGCAATGCACTTCAGTTTACAAACCCCTCCTTCTCTTCTCCACAGACAGAAATGAAGCTCAGCAACAAATACTTACACAGGGGCTAAAGATGCTCTTAACATTGTGGAAGCCTGGATCAGAAAAATAAATAAAAAAAAAATTACAACAGATTAGTCCAAATTTCACATCAATGTTACTAATGAAGTCCACAGTGAATTCTTTCACTGAGGTTCTGCAGTTCTTTTCCTATAAAACCTGTGCTGTAAACCCAGAAACACAGCTAAAGAAAGAGCACTTCAGTATTTATCTTTCTTTTCACTTTAAGTGCTTAAAAGGTAAAAAACCTCTTCTTTTATGATCTGGTTATGTTATCCTCACACTCATACTCCACAAATTATCTACACTTCAAGCATTTTAAAAAAATAATAATAAAAAATTAGTAGAAACTACTGTCTGAAGCCTACTGAGGAAGATGAAGAACTTGCTAAGCACATACATTGATTTAATAAATGTTCATACGTTTAAGTTGCAATATTTCATTGAAGACTCAGCACATATTCCTGTGTCCAAATTTATTGTAATTATTTGTTTCAACACTAATGTTATCAAGTGCCTGTTGCTACTAAAATATACTCCTATGTATAAATATTAATATGTAAAGAAAAGACTATGTATTCTAGTATGGATAAAACCAATATAGAACAGCATGTAATTTCTCTGTGGTTCTGCCTAAGATATGTTCAGTTTAATCCTGGATATATCCCCTCTGGTGCAGTGGGACACAGTGCATAAACAGGCACCACTGTACAACAAGTCAGAGCTTAGAAACATCAACACAACATAAAAGTTCCACATAAAAGTTGTCTGCCTCAGTAAATATTTTTTGCTAGAGTTAATTGTAAGTGAGCCAGGAAGCAGCAATTCTGGCATAAAAGTGCTTCATATCATGCATTCATGTCAACTACATGGCATATTTGCAGAATATTCAATGTCATCTCTTTGTGCTGATCTCTCTACTCACTTTCTAAAAATCTCTCATTACCACTTATGCCTGTAAAACTGGTCTTTTCTTCTGACCGAGGCTCTTTCAATGGGAGCTATATAATCAATGTCTATTGTCAGATTTAAAACTGTGGGATTTAGGAGACAAAAAGCATGAAATACCATAGAGAATACTGAATTACACCAGCTGACATATTCTTGAACACACTACCTCATGGGTGCCCTCCTAATACAAGGGACTGCTCTCTTAGATGTGAAATAAGCTTATACGCACATTGGAAAGCATTTTATATTGTCAATACTTGTTCACAATAGACAATTAACAGGTCATACACCTCAAAAGTAACCGTCTTGACAGCAGTTCTCACACCATAGTTTATCTTACACAATACAAGTCTTTCAAATTATCATATCTACCCCTAGACTGTTTTCTTCTTATTTATTTGTATTCATTTTCCTTAGCATTTTTGGTAAGTATAAAGAGTTAATTCTGTTTAAACAAAACTGTTTTCCCAGTCAAAACCTAACATCTTGTACCTGAATGTGCAATGCAATGAAATCACAAATCATTTTCCTTGCTTTCCTCAGCACCTTCCTCCATTAGAGGAAAACAGGAAAGAAAGTGATTATGGTACTTTAATGCAAAAGAAATGATGGAGCCCTTGAAGATGAGGAGGTCAAACAGAGAACAGTTGTGAGAAAAGAGCAGGACATTAGGGGTATATAGATGTATATAAAGGCTCTCTGCTTCTCAACAAAGTCCTTTTTACCCACCTCTTTGTTGACTTAGGAAAACCTGCTCCACTCAAAATATAACTAAAGGATATGTAATTGGTAAAGATACATGCATCACCCTTCCACACAAATAAAACTTCTTGGGAAGTGCGAGACTTTGCAAGCTTTTATAAATTTCAAACTGCAGAAACTTCAACTGGAAAAACATTCAGATTTTTACAAATCAATCAGACCAAGCAGGACAAAATCCTGTTAATTCCCAATTCGTTCTTTAGGCCGGCAGATGGAGCACAGCAAAGCATTTAATACGGTTTGCCTCTGCAGTCTACCTACACCAGAAAGGCACCAGAGAGTGAGGCAGGCCCTACACTGGAGCTCTGAGGGCAGCACCACTGAGCTGGAGAGACTTGTCACTTTGCTGATCAGACTCAGTTAATCAGTCTGGAACCTGCTCAGGGAGAAGGAAGCTCTCAGGGTTTTGGGGTTTCTGGGAAAGCAATAAGGATAAAGTTGCATCAGGTTCAATAAGGCTAAACAGAAACGTGAAAAGTTTTTGGGAGGCTAGTTTGTCCTTCACTGTGTTATCATTTCACAATCTGACTATGGCCAGTACTACTGATAAGCAGAAAGAATGGAACCATGTTACAGGCTGATGTTTCCTTTCTTCATTTTCATCTACATTATTGCCTTAAATATCTCCATTATTGCCATTAGTCATAAGTAAGCTAATCTGTATCCATCTAGTGTGGCACAATGAGTAAGGCATTGTCTTGGGTTTCAGGAGATACCCTGCTAGTCCTGATTCACCCACCAACTGCAGGCAAATCAAAACACATCATTTCATGTCTCTGGGCCTCAATTTTTCTCATCTGGAAAGCAGATGCAGGCATCAATCTCTCCAATAAGCTGGGATTTGAGATCTACCAATGAATGGCAGGGTGGAAGAGCTAAAAATTATTATTTTGCTATTAAACAATTGAATGCTTATGGCACAGCCACCACAAACAGAAAAACAACAGATCTAGTAGCTCCTCTTCACTATCAGTTTTCTTAGATTACAAGATTTATTTCCTCAGCATTTTCTTCCAAGCCCTTTCCCCAGTCTTACCTTTTCTGGAACAGATTAAATATTACTTTAACCTTTTGAGAAACAGTATTCCTTAAATTGCCAGTGAAAGACAGAGTGTGAAGAACATGAAGCAAACATGTTCCCATGTCCCAGAGCTCAAAGACTTAATCTTGAACAAAATATTTTTCATGCAAAACCTATCTTGAGACAGAATCATTTGTCATAATTGAAACACATGCAGAAGCTCAGTGTCTAAAGGAAAGGGAAAGAAACACAAGAAAACAACAGCCCAAGCACAGCTCATTCTGGTAGGATCATGGGGTATGACTTATGTTTGTGTTGGTTCTTGCCAAAGCCAAACCAGGTGCCACATGAAGTCAAATAATTCTGTCACGATGCACATTAGCCACAGATGGCAGCCCTTCATTTTTGAACAAAGCGAGGCATGAATATGAACAGCATGGAATAAACCAAAGAAGTTCAAAGGGAAAGAAAAAAAATCAATATTTATAAAAGAAAACAGATGCGTTTCATGTGCAAGCCAAGACCACAATTTGATTTTATCAAATACTGTAGCCCTGTATTCAAACCAACTCCCCTTTGCTATTTGATGTATATATTCATAATATGCTGAAGGTGAAGCTGAAAGCCAGATTCTGTCTTCAGTTCCCATTCTGAAAATGTGCTATAAGAATTCCATGTAAATTCAATGCAGATTCCAAATTAATAGTCAAAGATAAGTGATGAATATGTGATGAGTAAAACCAAAATTTGAGCAAATTTCTACATATCATTAAAACTCACAAATTTATGTTGAGCTCATTTGTTACATGCTAATAACAAGACTGCTCCACATGTAGTCTATGAGGGATTAGACTCTGAGCTTGTGTAACCTGGCAGGTCTTCCGGGGCTATGCAAAGTTATTTCATAAGAAGATCTGCAAATGTTTTTCATTTTTTTTCTTACTTATACTAGAGATATGCTGTTATGAAAACTTCCCACTTGCCATATAAAACAGGTTCTCTAAGACATCTGAAGTGTACATAGAAAAGTCACACTGTAATACTGGGTGATAATGTAATGAGTAGACAAAATGCCAGAAAAAAAGTATAAAGTACTATATATAAACAGTGAGAGGAGCTGACAGCTATCCATGTATTCAAGAAACACTTCAGAATTAGAGTCAGACAGCTTTACAGAAATTTTATAAACAACTCTACACTGTAAGTTATTACATTCTACATTGTATAAAGTTACATTTAATTAACACTATACTAATCTGTATAAGGGAAAAACTTTTTTTTAGCAGAGATAATTTCATTCTTAACTGCTCATCTGTAATCAACTTTTCTCAGTATCAAACCCCAGACTTATTTGAGGGAACAAAATCCTAAAGATCAAGGGAAAGGTGTCTGTTATGAACATTCATGTCATCAGTAGGAACAGGTTGATTGACACAGGTGATCTTTTACCATAGGTGAATAGGGGTAGTATTCTCTATATCAAGATAAAAGAATCACATAAAGAATTGTCTATTGCATTCAATACTTCTATGACTATTTCTCAAAACAAAATGTTGTTTTAAGGAGAAAGTTGAGTGCCCACACAGGTTTACTGTAATTCCAGGTGATAAATATGTTGGAAAAATAGGTAGTCTTTCTTGAAAGGCAAAATCTTGTTTTACCTAAAGAAAGCAATAAAAATATAAATATGCATTATTTTAAGCTGACTGACATTTTTCAGAATTGGTCAATCACTTTTATGAATTGATTACATACTGAGTTACTTAGAAGCAAACTCATTTCCTTTCTTCACAAAGAATGCACTGAATATGGGCAAAATTAGATACTTATGGTGTACTTGTAGTATTGCCAGAATATGAACTTCCATCTGGGTTACAGAAGTCACAGGCAGTACACAGAATATAATTTTGCATTTTCAGTTTTCACGGAAAAAAGATCCATTTTAATTGTATGAAAGAATTTTATAACCTTTACTACGGAAAGAAAGTTTGACTTTTGGAATTAAAAATACAAACACGTAGAACACGATACCCCTCTGAAGAGCACAACTCAACTTGCTGTATTTACCTTGAGAAATAATATTTATTTGCTTTGTCAAAGGTGTTGTGGGATCAGCTGGTGTTGGCACACATCAGGGACATTGTATGCTATGTACAGATGATAACATGGAAGAAACAATTGTTTTCTGCATGCTATAGGAAGCTGTAAAGTTTAATGTAAAATCTGTGGGCAAAGCTGCTCTTCTGTTGACATGCTGCATTATGTGTATTACAAAGAACATCTATTCCATTCCCCATGCAGAAATTCCAAGCCTTGCACAGTTTTTGGCTCTTCATAAACCATACAGTTAGTGTCATGACAAGTTAAAATGCAGAGAAAAATGTTCCACATTGTGAAATGAAGAGAAATATAGAGCATGACAGATTGAGCAGGCAACGTGAAAGGATATAAAGATAGAGACACTTACATATCCGTCATCACAAGGGCTCATAGAGTAATATCCCTTTATGGGCAAACAGGCACACATTAAAATAAAGAAGATTAAAAAAAAATAAGTTAACAGAAATAAATCACAGAGAAATGCACAGTCCTAAAAAAAATAACAATAAAAATCAGCTAAAAATTAACAGACTATTAGCTTTGAAAAGAAAAGTATAATCACCTCCTAATCCTCATACTGGTATGTCTTAGAACTGAAATTGGTGTGTCTCTCTTGTGATATATTTACAAGTTTCTCCTCTCAACACCTGGCAAACATACCTAGTCTGCATATTATTCCACTGTAATCATTAGTTAGAACAGCTACATATGAAGCACTGACACATGTATGTGAATATATGGCTTGTACTGTTCAGTGAGGCAGCTCAGAGAGAGATACCAATGGACATGGTATCGATCAGATCTCGGCTTCTGAGAAAGCAGCTGCCAGTATTCTCCATACTTGCTTTGACTGGTTTTTCTGATCAGCACATAACAAAAGCCAAGACAGACAATTTAAGGTGTTTGAGCAACATTAGCAATTCCTCATCTGAAAAAGCTCCAAGGATAAACTAAGAAAAACTGGAAGTTTTTAGTATCTGTGGAGGGAAGCCTAAGATGTAGTTACTAAAATAAATGATGGTGATAATTCACGGTTCAAGTAGCTTAGTACAAAATATGTCATGTTCTCTTTAATTAGACTAAAACACTTAGAACAGCTTTGTATCTGAAAAGAACAGTCTTAATTCAAAATAAAAGTACACAGTTCAACACAATGAAATAAGACCAATGCTAATTACCTTTGCTTCCAATCTTTTTGTGCAAACCTGCCAGTACTTACTTTAGAGGACATTTTTGTGCAGATGAATAAGCACATAAACACTGTATTTATGAGGCTGCTCTTTAACAGACATATACAGCCTTACATGAGAAGACATAAGAAACCTGCCACTTTTCACCGTGAGCAGAAAATAAAGTTCTTACTATTCTTTAACCAATTTTAAAAATCTGACATTATTCTTTTTATTACCCTGACACTTAGAATTCCCTGATGCAAATGAGTATTTTAACTTCTATGGTGCTATGCACATATATAGACAGTTCCTGGCGAAGACAATTTAAAATTCAATTTAAGACAAAGGACAGCATTGATGGAGACCAGTAAGTGAGCAAAAGAAACCAGGAGATAACCTGTGTCATGATGAAAGACATTTCAACACATGCATGACCTGAGCCAGTGAAAACGGACATAGGCATCTGGACAAAGACTACATTAAAGGTAAGTTTTAACAATAAAGAAAACCACAAAAGGTTGGACCAAACAAACTTTCAAAGTCCCCTCCAACCTGAGCTATTCCATGATTTGAGGACAGTAACAGGAAAAGTTTGTGGAAACCCCTACTGGTGGCAACATCTCACCTTTCGAGATGAAGAATTCATGTAAATAAAAAACCCCGCAGCAACTTGTGAAAAAGGCATCATATACTCTATCAGCAGAAAAAAGAACTTCTTGCTTACATAAAGAGAGAAGTTTGTTTCTTCATTTCCATACATAAATGGCAACATATAAAAATCACCCCATGGACAGGGATGCAGAAGACTCATATATTTCATCCTAAGAAAAGCTCACTTAGAGTAGATGCTGTTTGCTGCAATGCAGACATTATTTTTAAATGAAAGAGGGTACATCCACATCATGCCTGGTGAATCCACCTTGAGTTTTTAATCACTTTGAACCACTTAAACTAAAAACCTTCAGTTACCCTGATCCTGGGTTTCATGGGGTCTCCTGGTGCAGAAAACTTTCACAAGTAAGAAGCTGAACACCTGCCACAAACTCTTATGGTTTGACAGCATGTGCACAGTTGCAGTAGAAAGGGTGTTTGAGGACAAAAGCACAGAGCACAAGAAAAACAGGAGCCTCTGCTAGTCATTACAGTTATCCCAAGAATTAAAATAAAATTTCCTCTTGGTTTACAATTTGTAAATGACAGTTTCACTTTACAGAGTAGCTGGTGATTTTGTTCAGTGACAGAACTTTAAAAAAAAAAAAAACAAAACAACAAAAGAGACCTAAAACTTGCAAGGGACGTTAATTCACCTAATTGTAGCTACAGGTAAATATAATCAGACTGAATAGCAGCAAAAAACATAATGGGCATTTATTCTATTCCATGACACAGGTGCAATATATGCAAACATCTACACAGCTTTCAGGTCACAGAAAGATTCCCCATTGGTTAACACACACCTCTATTATTGACAGAAACTGTGTATCTGAAGAAACAATTCCAGTTTGCCCTTCAATCCAAAGTTTAGAAAATCTTATTACCTTATCTCTAATCCAAGAAATTCTAGGAAGGTGTACATCTTACTTCAATCCAAAAAGGCTCTTTCTGGGTTTAAGACTTGAACCCATGCTACTTTTGATAGGGAGTGAATGTGCTAGGTTTGTGGTAAAAAGCCAGAATCCTCTTGGCTTCATGATGTGTAATGAATAGAAAAAACCCACAACCCATGCTTCTTATCCACCAGACAAATCACTACCAGAAAGGTAAAAAAAAAATAAAATTAAACTTATCTGCAGAGTATGAAAGATATAAGAACCTGTGATAGCCCTGTGATAGAATACTGTAGTTGAAACTATTCAAATCTACCACCACCTACATCAGTCCCCTGTCCTACTGGATATCAGAAAGTTGGGAATCCAATTGAACCTTTAAATAAATGTTTCCTCAGCTTGTCAGGCCTGGTGCTCTGGCCTCCTATTCTTAAACCCAGACCTTTTGCTCTGACAATTCTCTCAGGTTTCTTATCTCCCAGTTCAGGACCATATATGCCAAATGACATGATGGAAGGTGGTGATAACATTCAACTGCAGCTAGGAAAAAAGCCTTATGGTAAAACAGGGCTTTAGAGAGACCTTGGAAACATCTCCCAACTGTAACACAGTTGTGTGGCCTCTCTCCCACTGTGTGCAGCAGATGCATCCTGTTAATGGATTGTGGGTCAGGCTCACGAGCTGACCCAGGAGGTCAGAGAGATGGCAAGAGACATGGAGTTGCACTGCAAAAGAATGAGATCCAAGCCAGATCATCAGAGAGCACAAAGCTGACATCAGAAGCCCTTGCTAAGTAAGAGTTCACAGTGTGATTACAATGGAAAATTCTTTTGCTTATTAGTGCCTCAGGTCTTAAAGCCAGTGCAGTTAGTAAGACTTGCTTCTGGGATTTGTCCTCCTGATACAAATTTCTTCCAGTATGAAAGGACAGGCCTTCAGTCATGGTGGGGGGCAAACCAGGAAGCTGATGTTTGTACAGTAACAGCACACATTAATAACTGATACATGTCACCTTTATTGTAATTTCAAAACCTGAGACCTCAAGGCTTTCTATTACACAATACTCCTTTCCTGACATTAAAAATTGAGCACAATGCATTGGGGAAAAAAATCAAGTTTGCATACAAATAATGCTACCAAGGATATAATCCAAAGTATTCTCCTTAATTTCCTTGGGCAATTGTTCATTTTGGTTAACAGCACTCATATAATGCTCCTCCCCTGTATAACTTCAAACTACCAGTGTAGTGTAGCTGATTAAAAAAAAATCACTGTAGAGCTCAAGTACAGATCTCAGAGAATGCTGCAGTTTTAGCATTTTCTGCTCTCAGAACCTGACCCAAAACCTGGATTGTGCCCTCAGTTGTACCAGTATGGCTGACTGTAAACTCAAGCACCTCGTCTTTCCAAACTATGTAATGCACATTTACTCATTCCCTAAATAACAGAGATAGGAATTTAAGGCTGCATGACAGCACCACAAAAAAAGTAATTTCCTTGCTAATGATTTTCTATTCTGCTCATCTATTTAGAGACATTGATCCACCAGAACCAATTTATTTAAGGATCTGGCCCTGACACTGGTGATGTCAAGTGAGAGAGGATCAAATCCTGAATACCCAAGGTAAAGTGGGGAAAAAAAGCCAAACAACAAACCACCATATTTAATGCCTGTCAAAACTCTTCAGACAATTACTTTTTCAAAAAAACCTCTCACTCATCTTGCCTATACAGAGACCTAATGGTAAGGATGAGCAAACAAGTTGCCCCTCTGCAAGTTTCTTCCCTCTGCAATTATACAGGTGACTGTCCCTTACAGCAGAGGGTGGTTTGTGAAATGGAGTAGCTGGAAGGACCATACTCTAAGTATTTATGAGCAAAAAGTGAGGGAACCTTCCAACACAAATCCAGCACAGATGCTGTGAACTTGTGCTACTGCTTAGTCTGGGTCACGGTGCCTCCAGCTTTATTCCAAAACTTATGCAAAAACCTGAAACCACTTAAGGGTAGAACAATAACATCTGAGTGTATAACAATGAAGTATTTGAATCCCTGAAGAAAAAGTAATGGGATGGCTTAGTGGCCTAGTGGCAAGCAGTCAGAATTTTAGTCCATCTCATCTGGCTTCCTGGATTAACAGTCAGGGAGTGGCTACAAATCTTTTGAGATTATGAGAAAGGAGTTTCATTTTTGTTCTCATAAGGTAGGCTATATGTATGTTTTTCTTCTTACACTTATTTGTGTTTCTACATGTTTGCTATTCGTGTATAAAACCAGAACCCTTTACTTTGGAAATAAATGAAGAAATTACAATCAATCAAGAATAAGATGAGGAAACCTGATTATGACACAGAGAATGTCTATATGCAAAGACTGTGATCAGCCCTCCAAAACTTGGCTAAATGCCTCAGACAGCCTGTGGGGATCTGCTTATAGAAATGACATTAGATTTCAACCACAGTAGCTACTATAACCTCATTGTCAAGGAGTGACCTGAAACAGTCAAGAAACCCGTAATCTAAACAGTCTCAGTGCTATAACTGGACTGGTCCTTCACCAGAGAGCTTGGATGGCACAGCAACTACCTCAAACAGTGTGGGTAAAGGAGCCACAAAGTCACACAGAAATAGTAATGCTAGTAAAGCCTAGTATAAAAATAGATACAACTGTGCTAGAAAAACACAGCTTTACTCAGTTTAACCTGGCTAATTTGGGACAAAAGAGAGGCAAAGATTTACCTCTAGCAGGAAAAAAAATCCACCACTGACACATCGTCTTTCTCTAACCTATCTGCACAGCTGGAGACTGTGTTAAAGTGGCTGGAGTGGCTTAAGTACAGTGGAAAAGGTGCTTTCAGAGAAGAAAGGCTTTTAGAGACACTTTCAGAGCAGCAGAAGTAATGATGCACAAGATCAATAATCATTTCACAGATGAGAATCTCTTAGTAGAAGCAAACAGAAGTGTGGCTGTAAGAGAGTGAGTGGTCACCTAATGCTGTCAGGCAGCATCAGCCACTCCTCATGAATGGTAACTTTTGTCTACCTTGTTCTTAAAAACCTCCAGTGACAGAGATTCTGGCTGAAATACTGATCATACTCTGCCGCCCACAGACTTCTTCAATGATCATTTATCGTTCTTAAAACTCTTAAAAGTCTCTTTTTTCACACAGAAGGAAACATGCCTATACCTAAACGCTAAACCATATCAGGACAGATTTTTATGCTAAAATAGCTATGTGATAGGTGTACAGAAAAACATGCAGCCTAGCAGTAACCCAGCCAGCTTTTGTCAGAGAAGACACAGCTTCAGCCACTCTGCACTCTCTGCAAAGTAGATAAAGAAACAAGTCAGCACCTTAAATGAGGGTGACATTCTTCCCTCTGGCCCCTTCCCAAAAGGGTTCAGGAGACTGAAGGATCAATTTATGATAGAAAGAAAAAAATAATGAGCAAAACCTTGGGCAAATGGAGCACCTTGAAAGCACAGGAGAAAAAGAAAAGTCTTGATCCAAGCAGAGAGCAGGAACAGAGAGAAGAGGGCACATGGCTGTACAGAATGGATTATCTCAGTACATGGAAGGGGAGACACATACAACCCCAACATCAGATGGCAAAAATACAGAAGACTACTGGGGTACCTAATGCATTGTCTCAGAAATAAATCTGAGCAGAGAGGAATTGCAGATAGCCCATAGTGTTGAGGTACCAGACAAACAGATCCTAGATCCTTCTTCAAACCCTGGAGTAGTGGCTTTTGCAGATTGCGTAAGAAAGCACCTCCTAAATTCATGGCAAGTCAGAGAGAGGAGTTTTGACCATTAAGTGGGAAGTGAAGGCATTTAAAACAGCGTGAAGAACAACAAGGAATAATATTGATATCTGAAAATATTAGCATGTAGCGAAGGAAAGGGAACATTTTTATTATCTCCTTATCTTTCTGTAACAGATTTCCAAGAGGAACAAAATGTACCCATAGTGTCATTGTTATTAGAAATCTTGGCTAGAATAAGGAATTTTATTTTCTTCTGCTTTTCCTTTGACTCTTCACCAAGCTCTTCTACTACAAATACACATGAACACCTGCCACAGCAAAAACAACAAGCAGAGTTCATGATTTTGGCTTGTCTTTGTAAAACAGTGGCACACAATATTTTATTATTAAAATATTTTAATGTTGTTTTACTATTAACACTTATTTGAATAATTTGAACAAGCTAGGTACAAAAAAAAGGTTGTAGCACTGAATTGCTCTTCTGCTATCATTAAGTCATTTAGAATCTCACAGGAATAGTTTCATAGATGCTAGAAACTATCCTAAACTGGTTCTGCTGCTGAAGAATAACCCTAAAGCTCCTTCCCTGCTCAGGCAGAAGAGATTGAGCAGAATATTAATGAGCAAGGTATAGTGCAGTCATCTGAAAAGAAACTGGAGGCTGGTGAAGTGGGGAAAAAACAACCCCAGGAATCCTGAGCTGCTTATCAATAAGATCAAAGATTTTTAGATAAGATGTTAAAAGTCCATCATGTAAATCAATAAGGTGGCTATGGTATATCTTCTAACTGCTCATCTAACAACTGGCTCTTACTGAAGAGGGAAGTCCTCCCTTCCTCCTCTTTTCTTCATTTGCTCTCATGATCCTGTGTGATGCTTCTCCTTTAGCTGGCTAAGCCAATTCTCTCTAGGGTTATAGGAGCATCACTGACAGCAGAAAGGAACAGAGCACGAGTCCAGAGCCGAGCAACCACTCCCCCTTTTAGCTAAATTAAATTGGCTAATATGTGCCATCAAACCCACTCAGAACATTAGCTTTAGGGTTTGGGTTTTTTTTTAAAACATTCAGTTAGCATTTTAACAGATACAAGCTTTACTGTCCTCACAACAACAGAATTAAATATACTTATGCAGCTACGAATGCATAACCATGTCATTCACCAGCAGCTGAGATCAACAAAACGTTATGTATTGCCAGGTTCTTATATTAGCTTGAACACATTATGTCTTGTCTTTACCATCTCACATTTATTGTTCAATATGCAGCTTAAGTAGTATTGTCTATTGAGACAGTTACTGTAAAAATCCCAAACATTATTACTTACAGTTCCAGGCCTTGTGAAGTCAATACTGTGTGCTACACTTTGTCTCATCTGATTGCTGAACAAGCGAACACAAACACTTTGAAGATACTCTGGCGTGATCTAAAAATTAGGAAACAAAGCAAGAACAGGATTATATAAAACTTACACCTTCTACCAGACAAGTATTTCTGTATTAAAAGTTGTTTGGTTGATTTTTTTAAAGAGAGTGAGAAATCACACACTTGAGACTCATTGACGTGAGCACAAGGAATATACTGCAACTACTGTTCCATTCAGAAATTAAAATAACTGTAAATTCCCTTTATCTGGGAATTGTTATGCTATTAACAAGACTAATGCTAAACACTTTCAGAGAGTCTAGAAAAAAACTAGAATTTGTCACACCTATGTTTCCATACAGATGTTCCTCAACCAAGAGGTTCCAAATCAAATCAAATTCAAAAATGAAGCAGTTTTGTGCTTTAAACAATCATATGTTGATGTGTTGTCTAGCTAGAGAGCAGAACTTGCATAACTGTCTTGTACAGAAGAGAGAATAAATATGAATTACACAGTACAACACTTTGTGTTTCAATGCAAAAAGAATAAATATGAATTACACAGTACAGCACTTTGCATTTCAATGCAAAACATCTCAGTGGATTTAGGGTTTTGCTTTGGGAAATCTACACCACAATATAACAGCCTGATTTCAGAACAGTTAACAACTTCCCCAGAACAGAGGCAAGAGCATCGAGATTACAGAAATACAAATGGGGACACTTCTGATATTCCCAGACCTACAGCAAGACGACAAAACCCTTCAAATTCAGAATGCTGCAGCTTCAACATGACTTTATTCAGTATCCAACTCCACTTTGGATTCAGGAATGACAGAAACCAAGATTCATAACAGAAGAGCACCCTCAGCTGGACACACTTGGGAAGGATTAAATGACTGCCCCGCACAAGGCTTACAAAGGAAATTAAAACAGGCATCTGCAACAAAACAGAACCAGCGCCTGGTTCCTCCCCGACAGAAGGTAACTGGATATCACCCTGGAGAGCACTGAGGTGTGCAATGGGAAGCAGCAAATGAATGACTATGTGTTTATTGTTTCTGAAGTCCATGTGAGCAGATACCTTCCCTAATCTGCTGTAAAGCATAATCCACACCTACAGGCAAATTCTTCCCTGCAGTAATACGTGAGCAGTCAGTGATCCCAGATGCACAGTAGCAAACCACAAGATGTTCCTGCTGATGGCAGAAGGACAGTACATATTGACTTTTCAGTAGGCAGCACAGGAAACCCCAGGTCATTCTTCCTGCTAACAATTCACAGCTCCTTTAAAACCATCTAGAGGCCGCTAACATCTGCTGTAAGAATAACCTTCAGGTTACACAGAAGTTATAGTACAGAGGCACGCTCGCGGAGAAGGAAGCACAACAGAGGAAACATACGATAAACTTCGTATAAAAAATACCCATAAGAAAATTGTACCTTCTTCAGTCACATACGTGTGGCCCATTTCACATGGTAACTCATTCTCTCCTACCCCAGTTCCCTTTATCAATTAAATTAAAAAGTTCAGCTTAGCAAAACAGAGAGCAAGGCTTTTCCTCACCAAAATTTTGGATGAGAAGATTGTTTCCAGCACCATGGAACTTGAACCAGACCTGACAGAAGTTTTAAACACACAACAACTGTTGATGGGCTGGATTGCAGTCAGTAGTCACAGAAATAACCTCTAATCACTGCTGATGCCACAGCTCAAAAGGGGACTCTCATAAGAGATCTGAGGTGTCTTGTGAGATGGTGATTAGTTTTTTCAAGATTTCTGAGCCAGCACAATTCAACTCATCTTTTGCACTACATTTATCCTTCCACACAGGGTCAAAGGAAGAACCTCTCATCTAAAGTGCTGTGTTTCATCAGTAAAGAGTCACAGTACTAACAGAAATTCTCATAACTACAAAGCTTAATTCACATTTTGATCTCCATTTTCCAGGGGGTGTGGAAGCAAGCACCCATCTGAGTCATTACTTACCATCTTCCCATTGACTGTGGCCTCCAAAGAATCCACCAGCTCTGCAGTGACTCCAATGAGATTGTGGTAGTCTACCTGCATTTTGTTAAATCGTTTCAGGTAGGTCATGGTCCTGTGCTCAGACTCCACTAACTGTTGATGAAGATGTTGCAACATTTCTGTCAACAGAATAATCAAAAGAGAAGTAGCATCACCTTTTCAAACAAAAGGACAAAAGAACCCACAGGCATTTTTACTGCTCTGAAGGCACAACTTCAACTTCCAAGGTGTGGAATTTCACTGCAAGGATAATTCAGCACCTCTAGTGTGATTCCATTCCATCACAACAGCTACAAGTATTTATTAAGCCTTAATCACCAAAGAAACAATTGATTCCCAGTTACAGCAGTAACATAACTATTAGACAGTGAACAGCACTGAACACATTTGTGAAGAAGATGCTGGTTTAAAGGTCTGTTACTAGGAGAAGTTCCAGCCTATCCATGACAAAACGAGGCTCCGGGCATCGAATCAGAACAAATGACAACACACAGCTGATTAACTGGACTTGCTGTCTGCAGAGCAGTCATGCACTATCTGTGACATTCACTAAAGTAACACAGGGTAGAAAACATTATCATGACCAGCAACTGGAAAGGTCAAGTAGCCACTCCAAAGGTAAAACACCAAAACAGGAGAAGGACACTACCCCGAGATTCAAGCCACTGTTTGCTAGATTATACCATGAGGCTGGGTGTTCTATCCAGTTAATGTACAGGAATTGGTATTTAGGTTATGTAGTGCTTTGTTTATTTTAAAGACTAAGTCTTCGATTTTTGGGGGGAAAATGGTACAATTCACAGAACAAAAGAACCCCAAATCCAACCCAAAAACATTCAAGTTATCCAGTTCCTCATTTGCTATTTCCTTCAACTGAATTCATTGAAGTTGCAGGGAATTCTCTACTTCAAAAAATTTTTCAGGTGACTCTGGTTGATGGTAAGCTGTATCAGTCACTTTTAGTACCTTCAGTTTCTGAAAATAACTCAAATTGGTCTTTTTTCAATAAATAAATTATTAATAATATCTGTTACATTTCTGACACATTTTGTTCCTTCAGGTTCAATTACTTTACAGACCAAAGCAAACTGAGTATCAGAATCTGTACCCTCCACCCCAGTGTCAGACTCATCCAAATCAGTTCTACATGGAACTCAGGCATGGAATCTGGAGCTGTGTACCACAGTGCACATCTCTGTGACTAGACAAAACTGTGAAGGGAGGTACAATAATCCTATTGTTACTGCTGATGTTTTGTATTTTGCTAGAACATTATGTTTTAAATTAGGTTGCTGAGAAGCCAGTATTGCTTTAGTGTTTTGAAAATGGCATCAGGCCCATTTTCAAACAGAGGGAATATTTACCATAGGATTTTCTGTGAAACAATGGGCAGGAATCAGCTTGACTCCAGAGTTTCAGACAAAAGTAGAATTCCTTCTCACAGATTTAAAAAAATTTTGGGTGAGGTTAGAGCATTCCAAACAGCCCAATATGATACAGTTTAGGTCCAAGTAGACCCAAAGGGAAGAAAAACAAAATAGCCAAGATAAAAACTGGAAAACAGAGAAACAAGTTCCTGTTCCTGGCTTTGAACAGATTTTGCCCACGATCTTCTAGGAAACCCTTACCCTCTCTCATGATTCACTATCTTTTTCCATAAATACATAGGTCATACGTCCCTGGAACACCAAAGTACTGGGAAACATAACTGATGTAAGTAGAAATCTGGGATCCTCATTTCTAAACAGTACAAAGTTTCACTGCACAGTTACCTCCGAGTTTAAAAAAGCTCTGCATATAACACCTTATGATAAAAAAGCCCTGGAGAATTAAGGTGTAGTTACTCAAAATCTGTCCCTTTGCTCCACTGCTCTCTGAACTGGGGCACAAACCTCTGCTGTCCCATGGCAGGTGGCACAGGGTGGTAATCCTTAGGAGAGGGAAAAATGGGGAGGGGAAGTCCTGTGTTAGGAGCATGGCTTCTTCTATGATTTCAAATGTAGGAGACTGCTTCAAAAATTTGTCACATCTTATGGATTTTGGAGTTTTTGAAATACGTTGGGTTTTTTATCCCATTTATACTAAAAGCAGTAGATGGCAGAACAGCTCATTTTTGCTACCAGAAAATTTAAGAAAAATTATCTTTTTAATGGGATCTTTTACAGAAAATGTGTGTTAATAGACTTTAGCTATAAACTGTAGCTATAAATGGACAATCTTAAAATTAAACATGGAATATACAGAGAAGGTACATTTTCTTCTACAAGTTAAGAGAAAAAAAACCCCACAGAATTATTTTACTCTCAAAGCCTCCTACCCTTTAAGGGTGGCTTCTTTTTGAAAACCATTCATGAGCCACAGCATTCTGTACCTCCAGGGTTTGTCACTGACACCTGATATCAAGCTGCAAATCAAACTACCATAATGATATTTCTCTTACACTTTCTAGAAGGGAGCCAAATCCAGTGTGAAATAACAACAGAAGCTGTGACAAGCCACAGATCCTGTTCAAATCCAGCAAATGAACTCGAAAAAAAAAAAACAAAAACAAAAAATGAAACACTACTAGAACAGCTCCCAGTAACATTAAGCAATCCTGCTGAGAGCACCAAACCTTTTACAATTCTGTAAGCTCTTAAAACCATCTCAACCGCAATCAATATTCATTAACTTAAAACTCAGACAAGTTAAGATACCTTCCAAAGGCAACCCAAATTATTCAGCCTTGATAATAATAATTCAACTCTGATTTTATCTTCATTCCACAGCCACTACTGCTACCACAGCTTTAATATGATACAGCTCCAAAACAAGAATATTTTTCTAAACTAACAGATTCGGAGAGCAACCATGGCACAAAAGGCAGCACTTTATTCCACTGCCTCAACAAGCAAACTGGAATATATTTTTATTTAACTGTGACACAACACATTTGATTCAGAAATTTCCAATGGATGTATCTAGAGCGTGACTTCACTCAGAGGAAAGTTGGAAGCACCAGATCACAAAGCGTAAACCTTCTCAAAGTTTGCCTGCTTTTCATTGCCCAGTGGGTAAAATTTCCAGTGAGGAAAATCCATCTTCCAACTAGAGTCAGTAGGAAAAACACTACATAACCAAAACTCAGTGCAGATCATCACTGACAAGTACCTCTTCTAAGCACAGAGGGCTGTTGGAAGAGCTGGTCCTGCTCTGCCCCGTTTCCCCTTTACACTCCTGTCACATCCCAATAAAAGCATTCACTTAGACAGATCAGGGAGCTACTAGCCCAGGTAAAAATCAGTATTTAGTGGCTTGTTTGAAACCTTAAATCATTACCCTCTGAGTCAAGATTGGGTAAAAGGAACTGGTGCCTTTCAGAGGCATTTCAGTTTACATTTATGTCACCTTGCAGAAGTGATCAGACTGCACCATAACAGGAAACAGAGGGTAACTCAAGACATGTGGCTTCTCTCTTTCCCAAACACAATTCCCAACACTCACAAATCCTTTTTACATATCATAAGCTTATCAGAGGAAGAAAAAAAAAAAAGCTCTCTAGACCTTTATTATTCATATGAAACATTCATACATGGAGGAAAAGAGAGGAAAATACAGCACAGAGGACTAACCTCCTGGTGTAGGAAGATGTAACACACAGCAAAGCTTGTCACTCTGCCAAATGAAGATGCTGGCACCAAGCATCAGCTGAACTACTGTGTGTTTCTACCAGTATTCTTGCCTGCTTTCTCATGTGTGGTTACACATATGCACATAATTCCATAAGAAGCTTCTTGTTCTAAGTGAGAGATTGGTTGTTTTCCTTTACAACAACTTACCTACTCCTAAAACAGGCTTCCTGAACTTGTGCTTGCTTTGTCTCTTTCTCTCTTAATCTCAGCCTACCCTCACATACTTTGCTAGAAGCACTGACACTAGCCAGGCTGAGCTCCTGCACACAATGCAGCAGAGCTCTGAGCAGAGGAGCTGCAGGTCTCAAGAGCTGTCAGACACTGGGGCTCCTTAGGCGACACTGAAACCTTGCTCTCAGAAGAGGCAGGAGTCTCCTTCTTGCTTATCACATCTCCATAAAAATTACTATCCATATTCTGACATATTTCCACATCAACAGTCATTTAGACTTTAGCAAATCCTGACAGACAGGTAGGTCACACTTCACTTTCTCTTGTGCAGCAGCCTGACACACTTCTCCCACCCTCCCCTTCCTTAAAACAGTGGAAGAGTGGCTGTGAACTCATCCACAGATTTGTAATGAGGCAGTGAAGGGAACAGCAGCTGAACACCCTTCCAAATACTTAATTCCCTCCATTCCTGTCAGCACAGAGGACACAAAGAAGGTCTGAAGCTCTCAGTGCAAGATGCCAACCATTCTGCAATTCCTTCCTTTCCAGCCAAACTGAAAACATATGGGAGAGCTGTAAGTTAAGCACCACTGCCACACAAATAGCTTTCAAAGTCATACAGGGATTGAAGTTTTTTAGCAAATGGGTAAAAAGCCAGACTGTGCAGGTAAATCAGGCAAGGTAAACACACAGAACTCTCCTGGGCACCCGCAAGAGCATTTGCACCACCCCACCCAAACTTGAAGTACTTCAGCGTGTCAGACTGATGACTGGCAACTATTTATAAAAGGCTGTTTCCAGGACTCTGACATACTGCTCTTCATTCATGTGTTGCCTATAAATTTTCTCTGCGTTTCCCCCTCACTGATAAAGGAAACATTCTCCAGCAGCGAGGAAGTGCTGTGGATCCCACGTGAGCTGAGCAGTTACTGCAAAAATAACCTCTTGGATCCAAAACTTTCATACGAGACAGTCCTCAAGTAACCTTTATGAAAAGTCCAAACTGACTCAACCTCCAAGGCACATAACAGATCTACAAATAAAGGCTGACCTGCATGGATTCAATTCCATGACAGTTCCCGTACTTGTAGAAAGCACAGAACCTTCCCAAATGAAAAATAATTAGGCCCAAAATAACTCAGGCACAATCATGTAGTAATTTATTTTTAATCAGAGTATGGAATTATTGCCTTCAGGAAAGTCCATCATGAGGAAAAAGAGTAACTTCTGGAAAATAAAAATCCACAAAGATCTTTCTAATATTCAGTGAAAGTCTAATGCAACACAAAGCTGAAAATAACAAAGAAAATATATGGAACTCACACTAGAAGAAAGCCTAACTTTCTCTTTAATTCAATCTACAAAGAGTAAATCCTCAGGGTAAACCTACAGATTAAATTAACTCGAGAGGAAAAGTCATTTTAAGAACCCAGCTGGTCTCATACAGATCTCTACCTATAAAGTGTTTGCAGAAAGTCATGTGAAAAAGTGAATGCAAGGTATTGGAAACTAAGTTCTATTTACTGAACTGATTTTTAAAGGCACATATTTCAAGTGTCATCAGCATCTAATGGGATTCATTATTTTTAAAGGGCCCCACGTCACATACACACTACAGTGCATATAAGCAGCACCTCGAAATGCAACACATCAGCCAGTCACATTTAAATTAACACATTATTATTCAGGAGATACTAATATGTACTATTTTAGGAGTTTAAACAGGATGAGTGAAATCAACTTAGACATGTTTAAGATCATCAGACAGTGATCAGAACAACTGTATGAGATTTAAAATGTGGAAGATACAGATAGGCCCAAGCAGGTAAGGGAAAGCAATCTGAGGCAACTTTCATCAGAACTAAAAGTGGAGAGCTGGTATGCACTTCTTATGGAGTTCTCCACTATTTTTTACCACGTTTCAGGACAGAATAGACATTAAATACAAATCCCACTACTAGGCCCTCTCCCATTTCTAGTACATGCCTATTTGATGCTCAACCCTCTGAGCTCAAGCAGTCCAGCAGTAACCCCAAGGCAGGGGTCTGGATTTCAAAGGACTTTCTGCCACGTACTACTAGTTTCCCCATCCCTGCAGGCACACCTCCTGCTACTATCACAGCCCCTAATAATCTTCCAGATTATCCTTACCACATCTCAGCATTTACCTTTGTTGCATTGTCCATTCTCTTTCTGTTGCACAAGTAGGAGCAGTTCAGGAAAACGTGCGTCCTTTCAGTACATGTTTGTTCCAGAGACACAGAATGAGAAATTCAACCAACTGGCAAACTCAAACAAACCAAACAGTCCTGCTGCCCCAGGCAACAGCCACAGGAGATGAAGAATAAAATAATCTACCATAAATACATGAAAATCTCTTAAATGCACAAAGCAGAATGTTGCATAGAGTGTTGAGACCTTTGGTTGACCTTTAAAGACATAAGATCCAGCCCTGATATATAAGATACAGGAATTCCAGTCTAACTGCATTAATACCAAAATGAAAAGTCAAACTGCTGATTTTACATAAAATCAACCTACAAGTGTTTTAAGACAAGTGACGTTTTTATATCTAAGAAATATCCAAGGTTTAATTAGGATTCAGTCCATTACTCCATGAAGAGGAATAAGCAAAGAGAAAATTTTCTTCAACTGTTGTATGGCAGACTCCCCCACAAACATCTGTAATATGGGAGTGAAAGTAGTGTTTTGATTGCTTCTCCCCATCCTGGTAAATGGGCAGGTATGAAACAGAAGGGATCTAATTTCCAGCTCGTTATTCAATTCAACATGCTGCTTTGGAAAAAAAGTAGGATATAGCAGGAAAAGGACTTTCAACTTATTTTGCATTAAAAAAAAAAAAAAAAAAAAAGTAGGATATAGCAGGAAAAGGACTTTCAACTTATGTTGCATTAATAAAAAAAAAAAAAAAACAGAAACAGAGACTCCAGTTCCATTCTGTCTACCTTATCTTTAACTGTATAGACCAAAACTGGAGAAGAAAATTTGCCATACAGCTAGTTAGTTTTCAAATTAGGTCTGACAACACAGCTTAAACAGTATTGTTAGAAAAACAATACAGTCTGAAGCACATGCCATTCAGTGAACCAATAATTTCTGGAATCCTTAAAATCCCTGGAAAACTTTCACTTAGACCCTGACATGGCTAATTTAAAAGACTAACAGCTTTAGAAACACTGAGAAACAAGTCAGGTCAGGTTGGTGCCTTCGGGTATGCTGTACTTTATACATGGAAACAAAGAATGGTCATATGATAAAAGTGCAGGTTCATATGTCTCTATGTATCCATACATTGTCTTCACATAACTTTTACAGAATTTTTTTTGAATGTGGAATATAAACAACATTTCCTATCATAAAAACACTGAACTGTAACATTACTGCAATTCTGCAATAAATCTTATCAGCACACTCTTGCAATAAATGATATTGCCTCTTTATAGTAATTCTAATTATCATCAAAGTGTTTTCTCAAAAGGATACAAATAAAGTGAGAAGCCGAGGAGTCTGTCTGGCTTTGAGAGTCAGAGACAGGAACTTTTCCAACCTCGTCCTCAAATCCAACGTCCAAGAATCCTTGAAAAGAAAAACAAATAATGACAGTTGTTCACCAAATATGTACACTCTGCAGAAAGTACTGTTTGGATCACAGCAACCTTCCACTAGAAGGCAGCCAGCACTGGATTGAAAAGATTTCCCCTTCACTGTTACTAAAGTGAATGTGTTTGCTCACTACCCATAAAAGACTAAAGAAGTTAGATGGGAGTTCAGGATTATTTCTAGACAAGAGTTCTTGAAGCACAATGTGGCTTTATTTCAAGTGCAAAACTATCACATAGTGTTGGTGCCTTGCAGGCACATGCAACAACTGCTCCAAAAGTAGAAGTACCTTTAAATACAAGCAACTTGAGAAAAAGATAAAAAATTAACATGAATTTAATATGAATTTTACATTTATTAAATAGAGTACAAAATGAATAATTTTGCAGTGCTCAGTTTACATCATCTTTCACTCCTAATGAGATCTGGGAACTGTAGATTTAGTCAATAACTGTTGCAAGCATCATGACATGACATTGGTGATCAGGGTACAACATTTCTAAAATAAGGATTTGGAGAAAAACAACTCATATACAAAAAACAGACCAACATAACAGACCAACACTGTTAACTGGAATGCTGTTCTCTGCCTGACGTAGTGTCTCATAGGCACAAGAAAATAACAGCTAAGGAAAAAAGCCAAAATACACCTTGGAATCCACCAAATCCTAATTTCTTCTATTTCCCACCTTCAGTGAAGCCAGTTTCTGCTTGAGGAAAAGCTAGTCAACAGATGAAAAAGCTCTATCTTAAAAGTAACAGGAGCTTCCTAAATTTACTGCTGTATACGTTTACGTTGCAAGCTGTTCTCACAGCTCAGATTTGCCCTTATTTCACCACGCTGGAGAATGTACAGAATTTACTTGCTGCATTTACCAATTCAGTATCCAGACAGCGGTGTACCACAGCACACTGTATATTACCTAAGGAACCTTGTCTCCTACAGAGAGGAGTGTGTATTATTTTTCAAGATGTATTACACAAACTGACAGGAACTCCTACTATATAAAGCATCAGATGCCTGAGAAAAATATATGCCATCAGAACACTGCTTACTAGACTAGTGACTCACTGCTGCTCTTTCTCAAACATAAAACAATCTGTGTTTCAACACTCACATGGAATGAGTTGTACAATTCCCACAAGAAAATATGAGTGACTGTGGACTAAGAGCTTGGACACTGGGTTACTATGAATAAACCTGAGGATCTTGTCTTAGATAAGGCATTAAAAAAAAAAAGCTGCTAAGCATAATTAAAAAAGAGTAGGCATATCCCATCTCTGAGGTCAACCAGTCCATCTCATTATTTATAGCTAGTCCCAAAGGAAAATGGCAGTATATGCCTTTTTTGGTGATAAACTGGAGCTCCTCAACAGCTGGTACATCCAAAGTCAGCCCTAGGGCAAATATCACTTAAGCTTTGATTTGATATCAAAAAGTGTGTGGCAATGGGGGCTGGAGGCATCTCCTTGCACCACAATAGTTGCCCACAGCTGCTTAGCCAGGCCAGCACAACTGCCCACGTGGTCAGATAGGGAAGCGTTCCCAGCAGATAACCCTCCCCACAGGGATTGCCACCAATACTTTGGAACATCAAGCCCCAGCTCTGAAAGTCATCTCCTAACCATCTGCCCAGAGAGTGGTCAGTATAAGGGTGTTTATTACCCCTTCATCAGCAGAGTAACTGTAGATCATCATCACACTGAAAGTGCACCTGGAAAAAAGACCTATTTTGAAATTCAAGCACACCAAACTTCTACACTCTCTTCTCACCTTGCACATGCAAGTCTAAGAACTCAACTCTGAAACATTCCTTCAAATGTAAAGGCTGAAACATATTTAACAAAAAAAATTAACTAGGAAAAATGCCTGTGGCAAGAGTCACCAAACCACAAAGCACAGCTATGCTCTTCCAGCACTTTTTTTTGGGAGGTGGGGGGAAGAGTCTCAAAACACAGACAACACTGATTCGTTTTCTGTTTCAAGAGGATTACTTACTAAATCGACTCTCTCTTTTCCACATTAAATGAAACCACTTTGGTCTCCTTATGCCTAAATATCATGCTTTAAATGCAGTTATATATACACAGATAGTGGTCTTGGGCAACAACCTCAAAGCAAGTAAGTTGACTTGAACTACTACAGAGTCATTCCCAGAAGCATTCATATTTCAGGGATGTGTGGAAAAGGAGAGGCAGCAATGCTAATTTATGGACACAGAGATGGCATACCACTCAAGACTCAAGCAAATATAAAATACATATTTAAGATGGCACCCTGTTATTGATAGCACTCTCACAACCCTTCCTCCATTAAATATATGTTTTTTTAGGATTGTACAGTTTCTGCTAAAAGGAACAATAAAGGCAAACACCAAACTAAACATTATTGAATATTTATCACCCCATGAGAAAAGTCATCATAAATACCATCTATGCAACACAGATACTTACCTGGAAAAGTTCTTTAAAAGAAGGGTGTACCATGGGGTTTGGAACAAAAGGCAAAGCATAGAAGGGAAGAAACTCTGTAGTCTGGCTCAGTGCAGCTCCTTTTGTTTCCAGGTATGCCTTAAAATGAGAAATCCTTTCCTCAAGTTTAGCTTTGTCCTAGGAAACAAAGTAGCATATTTAATTTAGAAAACTACCACTCTGAATGCACTGCAAAGCTGGAAAATACAAGCAGAGACCCAAGTATATTAATACCAAATCTGATATTCCAAAACCCAACATTTATTTAACTAGAGAACATTATATCATGTTTTCACCAGTCATAAAAGAAAATTTAAACCAATGTTGTTGTTTCTGTCATGTAGGTCCAACAAAAGAAGAGACAGAAAATTGATTTTGAACGTAAATCATTCCTGCTCACTTCAGGCTAGACTTCTAAAGCAAAATGCCATTTCCACACTCAGGCAAAGAGGAAACACCTACTAGACATGCTTTATATCAGTGATAAGTGAGAACCACAAAAATCCTGGTGCACAGCACCAGGCAGGGAAGCTGGCACACAGAACAGAAGTTCCTTAGAGGCTGGAAAACACACAAAAGGCATCCAAATACTCCTGTAGCAGCTGACAGGTGAAAGGCAGGAGCTATTAAGTCCCAGCTGATCTGGCTGAGTACAGGCTACTTAAATGTCTCTTCATCATAAAAGTCCCATGGAAGAGAGATTTTATTTTATAACAGCTTGGAATTATATTTTTCAATATGATATATTGAGCTGGTCAAGATTCAGCTTCCCCATTTAATCAGAAATTATTATATTTTAACTCACAGCTACAGTTCAAACTGGAAGCAAAGTAAGTGTTTTAAGAATCTTCTATGCTCTGCAATTACAGATGTGAAAGTATTGGCATGCTGGTATTTTCCAAGTTAAAATACTTCAGGAGCTCCAAGATATGGGCAGCTCCAACTTCCATCTCTGTGCTTCACAATACAAAGGGTCTGGTTCATCTAAAATGCAGATTATGGCCCAAAACTGGATACATGCTCCGGGTGTTCTTAGAAACCATCCCATCCTCATTCACACTAAAGACAGATAAACGAAGCAAAACAAACAAAAGCAATTTGGGGTTTGAATTGTGAACCAAACTTACAGGCTTTCCCATAGTTTGTTTCAAGAGGAAGGTGGCAAAGTGTATGTGAAGATAGAACTCCAGCTTCTGAGCAACAGGGTCATTGTCTCGCACTGAAGACAAAACGTGCTCCTCCCAGAGCTGGAAGAAAACTTTCTGCTCACCATTTTCAAATGCTGCAAGCAGATCTTCCTGCAAAGGGGAAAGGCATTCAGTGAAAAAACAAACACAGAAGAGCTACATTTGCACAGCAGTAATTTAGTGAATGAAGAATTCAAGTGCCATCTGAAAACCTCAAATTAAAGGTTTTATCCAAAAATCTATCACAGTTCAATGACTGCCTAAGTATTCTTTCACCATGTATTTTTAATATCTTTGAGAGCCTGAAGCAACCATGAATACAGGAGGTAAAGCCCAAATTTTCAAAAGTTCTGGGAACCCAGCTTTACTGTAAGAGAAAAATAAATGTCCAGAGTGTGTGAAAATCAGTCTTTTCAACCTACGGTAAGCTAAAAAATAAAAGTAGTGTGAATCAAAACTACTGTGTTCAAAAGGACTGGAGTTCTGAAAAAAAAAAAACTAAACCCAAACTTGAGGGTTCCTGTACTGGAAGAAGACTGCTAGAAGACTTCATCAAATAATCAAAAATCTGTTCAGACAGTTCAGATAATCTCATTGCTGTAGTAACTCACAGGGTCGTTAGTGGCCTTTAACTGTCTTTAGCATTACTCAATGTAAATTATGCATTACCTGAACAGGCAATGGATCTTTCAAGGAAACATCTGCTGGTTTAGGGAGTGGCTTCCCTTTTATTTTACATTCCTTTTTAAATACCTTCACTGTTTCTTCAAATTCTGCGAAATCCAAATACTACAAGACAAAAACATGCAGGAACAAAAATTTTTTTAGATGATTAATGCTTCAAAATAAATGATTAATCATTTTTTAGATGATTAATGCTTCAATGGATGACCCATGAAATGCCAAAGTTTCTGTATAGGAGGATCCATAAGTGCCAAAAACTGCAGATTGACAAACCAGGAACTGATACCTTTTGGTAGGAAAATACTGACTCTAAACTTCCTCCTGCATCCTAGAGACAACCAAGTACATCCTCTCTGAAAGAATGATGCCCCTTGCTTTAGTCAGTAATTTCATTCTACCAAAGAAGAAAATTAAGTAAAATCCATTAGTGTTATATTCTGTTTGAAGAAACAAGTAAATTACTTCCTTGCAAACAATGCTCTTAGAGGGCACAGCAGTCAGACAGCTTGAGCTCTTAGCCAGAGCCCTCATGTGAAGCTGTACAAGCCAATGACCAACTCATCAGGCACTGTTCTTCTACGGAAGAAATAAACAGCCCTGCCTCTTCCTCCCACAGTGTACAGTCAATATATTAGACACAGCTTTCCCCTCCTCCCCTCATCTCAGGAGTCTTAGTCATTGGCTGCTGAGGGAAGACATCACACTTCGTTTTGCAAACTTGACCTGGATTCCCAACATTGCCACAGAGAACAAGAATTGCTTTCTTCACAATAAACATAAATAGTAGTATAGTAGTGATTAAGAACTTAAATCTCTTTTTAGAACTGTTTTTAGATTTAAGCTGTGTATGACTTTGCCATATGGTTGACTCTTTTGGGAGGCAGTAACTGTCCTGGCTTTCAAGACACAGCCTGGTGACAGCTGGGCACAGTGGGAGCTGACTGCCACTCCTGATCACCCCTCTGCAGCACCAGCACCTGTGGAATCTGCAACAGGATGGATCATACAGGGCAGAGGGATTCAGTTGGGTGTCCACTCGGGGCCCTAAGCTAGGCTGCCAACACAGGGTCAATTAAAGGGATGAGGAAGCAACAAGCAGCAGAGATCACAGTTTGTGTCTTTGTTCTAATTCATAAACATCCCATTTTAGCCAATTTATCCAGAAGCACAGACTGCCATAGAGGTACCTGCCCTTCAACACTTGTCTCTCACTGTCTTTTTCACAGGATTCTTTCACACTTTATTATGATTTCCTCTTATGGGCAATAGGGGTAGAGGAGTGCCTAGCTGGAAAATCCTGCTTAGGCATTAAACCATGGAGATCAGTAGTCTCAGGAGTTGTCTGGGCTTTGTCAGCTCTAGGGTTTTTATATGCTTCTGATTGTATACACACATGGAATAAGGTGGCAGCCAAGCAAGATTTTAAAGATCTCACCTTTACCATAGGCCGGACCTGAGCCCCAAACTTGTCAGATGTAATCAACCTCATTCTTCCCTTAATGACAGCCTCATTTCCAATGAACAATAGATAATTTTTGATTGATCTGCTGTTTGACTGCTGACATTTTACAGATATTGAGCCCTTTGAACCTACAGAGCATGACAGGAGTCAGTATGATTTCAGACTGTAGCAACACTTGGCCAGATAAAAACTCCAGAATGTAGACCACAGTTACAATGCCTGGCTATGAAATTCTGCCTTGCTTATTTCAACAGCAACAACAACAAAAGGAAAAGAAATAATGAGAGAAAACCAACCTCTCTCACCAGTCCAAGTAACTCAGCCTCATATGCTAAAATGTCACCCATTGCTAAGCGTTACTGCTCCGCCTCATCGCTGATAGAGCTGGAAAATGGTAAAGAACGGGAGTGTCAGTGGCAGCACAGGGCTCACACAGCACAGCCCGTCAGCCATCGCATCTCCAAACAGCACGAGGAGGAGACACACACACAGACACACCCACAGAAACACAGTTTACCTGCCACGTCTCATCTGCCCCCATCCCCTCTCTCCCACATCCCACCTGCCCTCGTCCCACCTATCCACATCCCACCTCACCTGCCCACATCCCCCTTGCCCCCCTGCCCCACATCTCTCCTGTCCCAATCCCACCTGTCCCACATCTCCCCCGTCCCAATACCCCCTGCCCCAATTCCACCTGTCCCACATTCCCACTGTCCCAGTCTCCCCAGTCCCAATCCCAATCCCACCTCTTCCACTCCCCCTGTCCCAAACCACCCATGCCAGTTCGCCCTGTACCAATCCCCATCCCCGCTGTCCCAATCCCAATCCCATTCCCACTCCCCCGTCCCAATCCCACCTGTCCCACATTCCCCCTGCCCCAATCCCGTCCCAATTCCCATCCCAATCCCATTCCCACTTGTCCCGCATTCCCACTGTCCCAGTCTCCCCTGTCCCACTCCCCCCGTCCCAATCCCCATCCCCCGTGTCCCATTCCCCCCTCCCTCACCGTCCGTGTCTCCCCGGCAACCGCGGCCTCTCTCCGCGCCGCGCCCCCTCCCGCGCACGTGACCCCTCTCAGCCAATCGTAGCCCGGGAAGGCGCGCATCACGTGACGAAGGAGGGTCCCGCCCCCCGCGAGCGGCGCCCCCTGGCGGGCGGCGGTGCCGCTGACGCCTTGAGGAGGTTCCCGCTCTCCCGTGTAACTTCCACGGAGTTTGGGGGCAGCTTCATTTTTTTTAAAAAATGCCTTAACAGATGCGTTTGAATCCCCTTTACACCTTGAGCAGGCCAGGAGCTTTCTAATTTGGGAATTTCGTTTGAAACCTCCCAGTTTAGGAGGCTCGTTTGAAAAAGATGCTGGGCAACCAGGGCAGAGCTTTGCTGAGACCGAGCACGGCGTGAGGAGCCTGATCCATAGCCCTGGCACAGCCGAGATGAGGGATGCCAGGACCAGCCCCGTGGGTCGTTACCTCATGGAAGCCTCACCAGAGCAAACAGGAGGATTGGCCAAGCCCCTTATCGAGGCTTTGTCCCTTCTTCAATTAACAGTGGTGTTAATGAACCTCTTGCCATTAACGCTGGGTTCCTAGAAAGTATTTGCTCGACACAGTGAAATGTTTTATGGCCAGCAACATCCTGTCCAGGGTTTCAGCATCACTTTGTGCAGCCTTGTTTTCCACACCCAGACACAGCACAGCACCATCCATCTCCCTTCATCCTGGCTCCTGAAGGCAACTGCCGAAACTGAACACAGAGATTTCCATCTGCCCCCACCACCCCACCCCGGATTTTGACACCTGATGACCTCACAAGTCCCAAAAGCTAATCTCACCAGCCAGCTCAGAGACACTGCTCTCCACCAAGACCTTTTCCCAGCCAAACCTTAACTTGCCAACACCAGCTTGGGTGCATGCAGTTCAGGGCACAGCTTTCCTTGGCTCATGATCTAAGGACAATCTTCTCCTTATGCAATCAAAAACAATATTTAAAGGACAGAAAAAAAAAATCACCCTGGCACATTCTTGCCAGACCTAAAATTATCATCTTAAGAGGTGAAAAGTTTGGAAAGAGCGAGGTGATGGGAAGCAGAGCTATGAGAGATGGTGGGTGGGCACCAGCGTTCCATTCATGACCCGTGGGAGTTACTTCACCACTGCTCCCTGGCCAGCCAGCACTGTGTTGGTATTTGTGAATAAAACACTGAGGCAGACTGCTGCTCTTTGGGATAGGAAAGGGAGAAGGAAGGAAGGTGTTAAATATCTTATGAAAGGCAGAAGCAGCCTTGACAAGCCTCTGCCCCCTCTCACCTCCCATGCTTTGCTTCATCAAATTACAGTTGTCCTGGCAAGGGACAGAGTCGTGGTTTGAGCCAGGGTTGTGCCAAATCACCCAGTTTCTTCTTGTGTTCCATGTGATGGATGGAAAGGTGCCAGGAACGGGTGACTTCATCCATAACCTCTGTCTGTGCCAGAAGTCCCTGAAAACATCTCATTTCCCAACTCAGCTTGCTTCGAAGATGCTCTCAGCTAAAGAAATCCTGCTGGGAAAGGAGCTTTCCCAGGAAATCAGGAGAAATGTCACCAGTTTTCTTCAGGCTCCCCCCTTCTGCAGCACTTCCAGGAAGCATAGGGAAAGGCCTAGAAAGTGCTGGAAGAAAAGCAAGCAAAAGCTGGCAGGAATCGCTAGGAAGCACATCAAACTGTTCAGAAAGGACCCTGGAATTCCATTCCATAATCCCTACAAAATTCTCTGCAATTCCTAGAAAGAACAAGGATATTCCTGGAAAGCACAAAGAAACTCCTAGAAATTATTGGAAAATTCTTAGAATCTGGTGTGAATTCCTAGAAAGCCCTCTGAAAATCCTACAGAAAGTCTATCGAAATTTCTGGAAAGCAGAAGGATATTTTATAGAAAGCACCTATATAGAGGGAATTCCTAGGAAGCAATAGGAAATTTCTATTCTAAGTGTTAGTTTGTGTTCTCATTGCTCCCCAGGAGTGTGACAATTAGCATTCAAATTAGCTTTGGAGTTCCTGTGGGCACTGTTAAATGGTCAGGATGGTACATGATTGAGCTGGCAATTGGGATTTCTGGATTTCGTGGTTTATATACTGAATACCAAAGTTTTATGTCTATAAACAAGCACAAAATTTATATATATTAAACTTCTAATAATACAAACAGTAGATATATTCTAGATTTACCCATATCAAGAGTCTTTCTACAGCCAGAGGTTTCCTCTTTCTGTTCCGTACACTCTTTCAGAGATCCCACAATAACAAACCTTAACTATTAATTTCGAGTTTTACCATGCTGGAGCTTATCAGGCACTTGGCTCAGCTCCAGGGGGAGGCAGGTCTGGGTACCTTGACCATTTATATCCCCCTCACCACCATTGGGAGTGCAGCCTTCTGGGGTCCTTCTTGCTTCTGCTGAAGGAATGGGATGGGGCTGTGAACTCCTCCTGTTTGTCACCTGTCCCTCTAACTTTTAAAAGGAGGAAAAGACTCTTCTTAGAGAGGCGGTCCCAAGGTTTTGGAGCAGACCAGCTGCAGCTGCCCTCCTTTGTAAAGGCAGCTTCATTCTCTTCCCTCTCTCCTGCTTTGTTTTGGTGATGATCAGACACTGCCCCTGGGGAAAGAAGGGGATTTCCACAGATTTTCTTATTTCCAGGATGAGGTACCTCCCGCTGTCTTTCTCCTTTGAGGAGCCCTGGGCAGGATGGTGGGAAGGGCTGTGTGGGATCTGGGCTTTGGTTTATCATCATCCTTTTTCTCTCCCATTCTTGCAGAATTCCCCTTCCATCGAGCAGACAAGGCTGCTGTGTACTCTGCCTTGCACAGGCTTTGCTGTGTTCCTGTGGTGCCTGGGGAGGGAACTTCTTCAGGGAGGTGCTGCCCAGGGGGAGGACACCCACCCTCTGGCCAACACCTGGGGTAAGGTCAGGAAGACACAGAGCTTGTGCCTCAAACCTGAAAAGCAGGACCTCACTGTCCTGTGTATCCAAGTAAGGACATTCATCATCATCACCCCAGCTCCACAGTTTAGGTTTTCCTTGGGGCAGGTGTCACTGCCACCTCTGCCAGAGGCTGAGCATTCCTGGGGCTGGGCCACTGACCCTGCCAGTTGCAGATCCCAGACTGGATCATAACCTGTTGCTTGATTTAAAAACAGAAGGCTGTTCTCTGTGCTCAAGTAGAAGATTTTGCAGGAAATTTCTTCTTGCAGTAGCCTTTCCAAGTGGTTGCATTAAAAATAAAAGCAAGCAGGCAAGAGAGGAATATTTTTCAAAGCTTAAACATCCTGTTATTTTCTGTATCAAACTTCAGCTATGAATTGCCAAAAAATATTTTGGTTTGGATTTTCAATGAATACTTTGAAGGAGCTTTTAGGCAATAAATAAATAAGAAGTTCACTTGAAATTTTAGTTGATGACACGTTATTGTTGGTTGGGTTGGAACACAGATTGGCTCCTACTGGGCCTGGCTGGGGGTCAGAGAGGTTTGCTTGGACACTGGCTTTGCTGTGCTTAGGCAGGGCCCTTGCCTAGCAGCTCAGATGCAGATCACATACTGAATTACAAAGCAATGCTTCCCCAGGGCCCTCTGCACGGAAAACCAAGGCAATGGAGTTGCAAAACCTCTGCCCTCCCCAGCATCAGACTGCCATAAAGCTGCTTTATCTCCCTTGGATGGGACTTCTTTGCCTGCTGCTGAGCCTCAAGTTTCACCTCTCCACTGCCTCTCCCAGAAGCATGTGGTCATCCCAGCCCAGGGCATTTATATCAGACCTTTCTTCAGTAATTTCCTGTAAGCAAAGTCCCAACTAGGAGAAGCACAACAGAGACTTTGATTTTGTGTCATGAGATGCGTGAAGGAGATGACAGGATGAACTCGGCTCTCCTTGAGATCTTGAAAACTCTTGGCCTGCTCAATCCACAGCAGGGAGGGAGAAAGGACTGGCTGGTGGGTCCCCAAAAAGCTCCTTTCAGCTGCATTGCAAGATGGTGAAGGAGTGTCTCAGGCACTTGGCAGTCCAGTGTTGAAGGAGCCAAAGCTTTCTTCTCCCAGCAGGACTTTACAGATGAGGACAAGAGCATCCAGGACTCAACCTATTCCTCTGCAATGTCAGCCCCTCACATCCCTCACATCTCCCACCTGGAGAGGAGGCGCTGCTTTCTCCAACCTCCACAAAACCTTCTTGCTGTTGCCACCACCCTGGTGTGGGTTGGCCAAAGCCCAGCCCAGGCTGGAGGAAGAAAGGAGTCCTCCAGCATTTTCTCTGCTCCTCCATCCCAATAGATGAGCCTGTGGTACCTTTCCAGCTGTGGCAGAGATCGCATTTCAGAGATCCTTACAGGAATGGAGCTGACAACTAGGAGAGATGGACTGCTTTTGTGGAGCTGGGATGTCTCCATGGGTGATGACAGCAGCTCAGTGCCCCAGCCTCACCTGGGCTTTCTGGCATGTCCTCACCAAACACGAGTCATTAAGCCCCCAGCCAAGGCAAATACCAATGTGTGAGAGGGCTGGCTTGCAGTAACAGTGAGGTTGTCCAGCCAAAAATGGCAGGGAGCTGGGAGAAGGAAAGAGCTAGAGACGCTCCATTAAAAAACAATAAGGTGGAGAAAATAGTCTGGAAACTGGGTGCACAGAAACAGCAGGACAGAGAGCTTCATCATCAGGAGAAACATCCCTATTCCCAACAAACCTCACTGTCCTCATCGCATCGACACAGTGTTGGTGCTGCCACCAACACAGGGCAATGGCCACCTGTCCCATGCCACTGACACAGCCCAACTGCCACCTGCCCAATCATGCAGGCACAAATCGAAAAACCTCAAGGCCCACAAGAACAGCAAGCAGCAAGTTTCATCTGTGAACAAGCCCATGAACTCTGCTGTCCAGTGCAGATGCTTCCAGCTAATTATTTTCAGCACCAGGTTTCAGGCTTAAGCTAAAAATAAAAAAGATTTCAGTGTGAAGTTAAAGTAAACAGAGAATTTGTCCAGCCCTGCAGGAGCTATCTCAGCTCCTCCTTTAGGAGGACATAGTGGGGAAACAAAAAGTTAATCC